TGCAGTGACGCCCATCAGAAGCACACAGCTCAGAGGTGCAGTGATGGCCATCAGAAGCACACAGCTGGCTCAGAGGTGCAGTGACGTCCAACGGAAGTATTTCAAGACCAGGATGCAGCCCTGTACAGATTCAAAGAGGGTCGCAAGACCATTTTTAACATGCTGACATTTCAAAACACGTAGGCTGGATTTTCTGTTCTTTCAATGGCCAAGAGCAACAAACCTGTTGTTGAATGTGACTTGAGTTATGCTCTTTCTCCCAGAGCTGCAAATTTCAAAACTCTGGCAATCAACATCAGATCTCACCCTGATAACATTCGAGGCAAGCTCTTAAATAAGCTCGATGTGAATTTGGATCAAATCCCTTTTCTCCGTTTCACTTTTTTGAAGCAAAAAATATTTTTCATGAATGCAAGGTGAAGTACATAAATAGAAATTGAACTTGATTAAAAACCACCAAGGTGGGGGCCTGTGGTTTTGTGCTAACTGAAAGGAGAGCGTTGAGTTTCAAAGGGTGAGAACCAGACATTCCAGACTCTCAGCTGACCATGAATTCCAGGACTGAATTTTATTGCATTTTTATCTTGGAAACTTCACTTGCTGGCTCCTGCCTTTACAACCAAGGACTGATGCAATCCAGTATGAACAAGCAGAAACATTACACACAACCAACCCCAGCCCGGTGTGATCTTGTACATGCCCCTCTGTTGCTGGAGGCCTCAGTCTCCCTCACTGGACACTGAAATAGCAACCTGATCAGTTCATCAGAAAGCTGCAGGTCTGACCGCTTTGTCAATTAAAGACCAAGAGCCAACACCTACATTCGAAAAGGGGAGTACACTTTTATAGAAATACCAACCATGCTAGACCAAGATCTTTATTATTGAATCCTGTTACATAAGGTACTGGAAAAAAATGTTAAATAGGGCTGCAGCACAGGGAGCTGAAATCAATAGTAAGGTTCTAGCTGAAGGCCCACATATAGAACTCTTTTTTCAAAAAACTCCCACGTGCCTTTTCAGATCCCCCGTCATCCCAGTTCCTACATGTTCCTGTTGCCTGGCAACCCGCTGAATCGCCGAAGATGGACGTTCTCAACAGCCACTCGGAGAAGTCCTTCAGAAACTTCTACATGCTGAACAACGTGGCCCAGGATGTTGCCATAGCAATCTGGCATTGTTCAGAGTGTGCAAACCCAAGGGAGAAACAACAGAGCAAAAAAAAAAATTCTTCCTGGTTTCAAAGGAAACACAAAGCAGGCTCTGAGAGTGGTCCGCTCCTGGGGACAGGTCTCAATCGTGCTGCTATGGGCTCCAGCCTGTCCACTGCAGGACAGCCACGAACAGTCGCGTGTCAAAATGCAGCGTCAGATCCCACACTCGCGTTAAGAGGGGGGTCTTAGTGTACTCCACTTGGCGGCAAGAGGTGTTTCTCAAAAGCAGTGAAGAATCCATTCAAATTCTTCTGAAGCATCAACACCCGCAGGTCAAGAGCCACACAGCAGCGGCTGGGCCACTGTGAGCTACACACACTTCGTAGTCACATCACTAAAACCCATTACACCCAAAGTATTCACACTGCTCAAACCCTTTTCAGCCCAATTGTAAAATCTTTAAAAAAAACATAATTCCACAAGCTGGGAAACAAAACCTACTTTTAGTGGCCGTTCACTTTGGTAACTCAAAAACTCCAAGTAGGGGCACATCGGCTACAGCTCAAAGACCTGGCTTGTTTCCCCGAGGGGAGCTGAAAATGACTCAACCCTCTCTTTACAACAAACCAGTACAATTTCCCAAGATTAGACAAACATCAGGACTCGCCTCTTAAAAAAAAAAAAACACACACATGAAACACTTAAAGTTCATGGTCTTTTATTGGAAAAAAAAGACTAGCATGTACAACTTGGAATGAATGTAAACTGTAAATCAGATGAACAGCCTAGAACACCTTGTGCTGAAATCCTATGTACTGCAGATATACAAGATCACCTGACACGTCCATGTCTTGAAAACGTAAGATATAAATGTGTTCGACAATGTTCCCTTGCTAAGAATGACTTTAGTGAAAGTCACAGCTGGTCAGCTCTCTCACTGTAGTGCGATGCACAACAAGGTAACAATTTTCCAAAATACCAACATGCCAGCCATGTTTTATTTAAGATCATTTTAATATTTTTTTCTGAGCACAATGCAAATTCCCATTCCAGCATCTGAAGTTAAAATTACAGCCTCATTTTCTCTGCACTTTCTTCCGTTTACAAACTGTACTATACCAACAATACAACATTTTTTGTGGAATTAGCACGTTTTGATACACCAGACTGTGCTCAACTCTCAAGCTGCATGCATGAAAAGAATTAAAGAAAATGGCCAGCCCAAACAGTATTACTAGCAACTGGAACTTTTAAGGAGTTCACCAAGTGCTTATTTTTGTTTTAAGGTAGCATAGGTATTTTTTAAATTGGTACTTGATCTTTGGGGACAGGACCACCGACCATTACATGCAGATATTTTTATTAGCTTTTTAAGTGGACAGAAGGATATTTTTAACATTCAATTATGTTTTCTATACAGAAAGTATGAATAAATGAACATTTTTGCAAGAGGTAAGTAAAACATTTGACTGATTTTTTTTTCTTCTAAGAGGGAAAAGGAAAGGCCAGGAGAGCTTCACTTCGCAGTCATCATTTGTACAAATTCTGCAAAAAGAAAGAACAGCATTGAAATGTGTTGGGGAGGATTCTGCAGAAATGAAGTTAATGACATAAGACTGAGAACATTTTAAGCAAACCATTTACAATGAAGGCAGTTATTACACATTATTGCTAACACACTATGCGGGAGGCAGCGGTTACCTGCATCCTGCACAGATCCACAATATAAACTCATCCCTTCTCAGCAGCGGGGCTTTCACCTTACCTTCATAATTAACCTGCCCGTCTCCATCGATATCTGCTTCTCTGATCATTTCATCTACTTCTTCATCTGTTAATTTCTCCCCTAGGTTTGTCATGACGTGACGCAGCTCAGCCGCGCTGATGTAACCGTTCCCATCCTGCACAGAGAAAACAAGATCCTGCCTGTTAATCACTGGAGTGGACCTTAAAAATGCATCTCATCTAGACAAAGAGGGATTTAAGACCATCGACTTTTCTGTGCACAAACCAGATGTCCCTTCAGATCGGTTATATTTGGTATTACTGGGGTGATCTGAAACAATGCATCCAAAATTCAACAGCAGGAACACCTGCGTGAAGATCAGGCCGAGGCAGTCAGGAATAGATTACTCAGAGACCGTTTCTTTAAAGTTCTTGAGATGCCCAAGGGGAGTTACCACAAGAAGACACACAGCAAGCTTTTCTATAGAAATAACGTTTCTAACGGGGGGTGGCTAATTAGATATTCCCCCACCTAGAGTGCAGCTTGCCTAGACTAAACTGGTTAACAATGCGCAATACTACAATTACCTGCGTTCCATCTCACCTTCCCACCTAGTTTTCATCTCATAATTCTTTCCTTGTCCCCCTCATCTTCATCACAGGAACCTCCTGCGAAATACAGAGGTCCCCATGGCAACCCTGGGACTCCATGAATAATGGTCCTGTGTCCTCTTTATCAACCTCCTCTGCTTCCACAGCAACCTGGTTAGGGGTAGTGTGCCCTGTATGCTCGTTTAAAACCTTATCACTAAGGCCTGGCAGAGCTGTCCACCACATTCCAGTCCTTTAAGGATGGCTGTCTCTTAAACAATGTCTAAGGAATGCATGAGACTACAAGCTACAGAAGTAACTGGCTACACTGTACAGAGAGGAAAAGGCAACAGGCATAGGCAGTGATACATTAAATCAATAATCAATACTTTGTTCATCATTCAATCCCTTCAATCTAACGTGTGCTCTCCGCATAATAAACTATTTAAGCAGAAACTAAAACGTCAACAAAATTCACCCCTCCCCCCAAAAAAAACAGAAGAGAAAAAGAAAGCAGGCCTCAAACACAGCTTTGTTCCTCAGCCTTTCAAGAACGCGCTGCACACAGAAAGGCATGCAAAATGTATTAAAGATGTGGGAGTTTAGGAATGCAAAGCGTTTTGCTTCAAACACACCTTATCGAATACCCGGAAAGCCTCGCGAATCTCCTCCTCACTGTCAGTGTCTTTCATTTTTCTGGCCATCATGGTTAAAAATTCTGGGAAGTCGATGGTTCCATTTCCTGGAAAAAAAAGAGACACCACTTTTTTAACACCTTGAACAATCTACTCATTTTACATCATGCTGATGATGTACAAGTAATTCTGGCAGGATTGTGCAAAAAACAAGACTACACACCTTTTTTTGTAATTCCCCCCCAATACATTCTATCAGTATCCCGATGCTTTCCAGGCGGTATCATGTAGGAGATTACATGCACCTCTGAACTGCTAAATATTTGAATAAAGGTTTCTTGGGAACTGTGGAACAGTTCTATCTCCAGAGTGACAATGACACTTCCACAAGCCAAGTTTCTTATCAGTATGTCCCAGCTCCCAGTAAGCGCGCAATTATAAATCACAAAAGTGAAGACCCAGAACAGGCAGAAAGCAGGTTAGAAAGTGCAGAGCTTGAAGCTCATGGCATTTAATCACCAACTAACACTCAACCTTCAAAATTACACAAGGTCAATCCCAGCTTGCACTGAGCAACAGACATCCCCACTGAGGAAATCTTCACGGCCACTTTTAAATATTGCAGTCTGTAGTGTTCCCAGCACTGGGCCGCCAGCACACGCAACAGGAAAGGGATGTAAATCCGACACTGACGTCCCAGGTCAGGGCTACACACAGCACCAAATAATCGAATAGGCCAACAGATCGATCCAGTCTGCGCACCGCGTGCAATCTCTGCTGCTCCAGTCCACGTCCTACTGAATAAACATTTCAGGAGCTTAGAAAGCGATAGCTTTTGTCTAGGCACTTAATTTGGGCCTTGCAAAGTGGATTATATAATCCACCGCCTAAAGCCTTCACACTCTGCATCTGCCGTCACCCACAGCAGTCTGAAGCACTGTGGTGAACACTGCAAACCAGCCCAGCTCTCGGCTGCGTGCGTTTGCCACCACAGACCCAACTGGTTTAGTCACAAATCTGGATCGACAGAAGGAGACGCAGAGCTCTCGGCACGGGCTTCTCCCGTTTTAAAGAAAGCGGTTTCTTAAGACGCGCGTCTTCACAATGGGCCCTAACACACGGGGTTGGACATCTACAACGGTCTTCTTGACTTCAGGGAGGGCCGTGCGGGCAGGGTGCTGCTGGCGGCGCCACGCGTCACTCTGGGGACGCGCGCACAGCCTGGGCAGCGTCGCCCGACAGCCACTGGGCGCAGGCGTGCTGGGAGCGTGGTTCCTCGGGCACCCACGCTCAGAGCTGCAGCCAAGACGCCTTCGGAATGGCAAGAGTGCAGGTACACCGGTCACCAGTGTCCTCCTTCACTGGGCTGCTCATTAGGCTCCTGCAAGCCTGATTAAAGCGAAGCTCACGCGGCAGGGGACCCGGCCCCGCGGAACTAGGACACGGCGATAGGCACGAGCCGCACGACTCTGAGGGCCAAGGCGTGGGAACGCGCCCTCACTCCCCGGACAGCAGCCGCCACGCTCGGGACAGCGCGAGTTATCTTCTGAAGGCGGGGGCTAGCGGTGCAGCCCACAGGCCGGCCTTCCCACGGTTACGGGCAGCTGAACGGCCCGTGTGCAAACGGCCCGGTTCTCATGACAATTTAACGACTACAAAACCAGGGGGCCCATCGGCGTTATATGTGCTGTTGGCCACCTCAACCGCCAAGTGCCACAAACTGAACGAGGTTTGACCCCGCTGTCGCCCTACGGCTCGGCAGAAAGGCCTCGTTAAGGAAGCAAATCCTTAAAATGGCTGAAAAACGTGAGCAATGTCACAGAAAGGGCAACAAACACACACTGGTTGCCAGGGTGGCATGAGAACCAGGAAAACTGGTTTTCTATTCCCTTCAATGAAATACACACATTGATAACCAGGAAGTGTAAGTTTATTTTTAAACTCTCAAGGCGTCTTTCACTACTACTCTGAAACCTTTTACTATAAAAGGCTCAAAGACAAGAATTGGAACTAGCTCCCTGGGTGCAGTTTAACTTGTTAGTATTTTTCAACAAGAAACCTCAATCATGGGCACGCACAGCACATGAAATGTTTGCATTTGATTTTCAGAAAGGCTTTAATGATGTTGCTCATAAAAGATTAATTTTAAAATTGACAGGATCTCAAAACCTAGTCTTTGAATTAAGATCGAGCTAATGGATAGGGCATAGTACATGTTAGAGGTGAATATTCAAATTGGGCGATGTCATTAGTGAAGAACCGCAAGAGTCTATATTAGGAACACTGCTCTAATTTACATTAATCGTTTAGATTCTGCTTTAAACTATAAAGCTGCTGGTTATACTTGGCAGAAATTTAATGTACATAATCCATGTCTATGTAATTGTGTACAAAGCATGTATTTGTACAAAACGACAGTTAGAAAACGCCTGTAACTGCATGCAAGTAGGAAACAATTACATCAGATGGGAAACGAGAATCAAGGAGCTATGCCAACATTTTTTTATCTTTGAATCTAGATAATGCGTTGAAGCCCAGAAAAGGCAAGCAGAGTGTAACTTAAAAGTGCAGAGTTTAAATCAAGGAATATTACGTTGAACTTGTACAATGCACCAGCAGGATCTCATTTAGAAAAACAAGTAAAGCTTTTGTTTACCCCATTACCAAATAAATAGTTACTCTGGAGTCAATCCAGAGAAAAGCAACCATATACAATGCTGGGTCTGAAAGTGCTCCTATTCTGACAGGAAAAACAACAGGTTTTTTTAGCCTTGAACAGTGAAGACTATGGGCAAACCTGATTCAAGTACTCAAACTCCTCAAGAATAGTGACAAAGCCCAGCAGACATTTTCAGAAGCAGCAATGAAATACGAAACAAAGGACAGAAGTGGAAACTACAGGGAAGAGCATTTGAAACTGAGAACAAGGGGCACATTTTAACCGAGCTGCCCAGCCATGCTGCCGAAGCACACATCTTCCTGGGACCAGTCGCAGCAGTGATGAGGGGTGTGGCTCGTGTTCCTGAAGGCTGTGGGTTCATTCTATGGTCATGTGTTGCTGCTGTACCCTATAGCAAGGTACTGCATGAGCGCCCGTAAAACAGCCACCTATACAAGCGTAAACATTTTTAATTTGGCTGATGCTTTTATAGCTTAAAAGAATCCTAATGGGCTAGACAGGTCAAACAGCCTCCTCTTATCTGCCTCCTGTCTTCTGTCTCCTGAGCCCAGATTCCAGGGGGGGAGCAAGGCTTTGTGCCAAGAGACTCCCAGTACAGCTCCTCCAGCACTGGGCCGCTCTCTTGTCCTCAGTGAGGCACACTTACCATCTGCATCCACTTCGTTGATCATGTCCTGCAGTTCTGCCTCTGTTGGGTTCTGCCCCAGTGACCTCATTACTGTGCCCAGCTCTTTCGTTGTGATCGTGCCATCGCCGTCCTTGTCGAACAAGGAAAAGGCCTCCTTGAACTCTGAAATGGGGAAAGAAAAAGAAACGGCCTCAAATCAGGGTCTCGGACTCGGCAAACAACGACCCTGCAAGTGTGTCTGTAAACCCATCTCGCCGAATCGCGCTCCGGGCATGGCACACATTGTGCTGCTCTTAAGCTAGAGCAAGATGTTTTAATGCTCTGAAACAGCAACTGAAGAATTCGGTTTCTCTGCTTAAAGCCTTCAGGGTGCTAGGGGACAGTATTCGGCACCGAGGGCCAGATCTACGTGTATGGACACTCCAAACGGCTGGACAGAACCAACAGCTTCCTCTCGTTTGGAGCCTGTTCTGGAAAGTCATTAAAACAGCTCGGAATGTGCGTCTGGCTCATAGTTTGCAGACATGTCTCTTATGTCAGAATGCTTTCAACCAAAATTATTTTTTTAATCTTCCAAATTCACATTTTTTTCATTAACAGCTAAATGTCAAACTACCAGATTTTACACTGCAACCCTGTGGACAGAAGCATTTCAACAGCCCCGCCATTACACACCCTCCTTAAGGACAGAGCAAAATCTCCTGGAGTTCCTCTTCTAACAAGGCAAAATCTGAATTATTACTTATTGATGTTTACAAGATGCCTTTATTTCAATTTTTAATCCAAGCTTCATTAAAACTTAAGCCACTGATCTTGAGAAGAGAGTCATCTGACTACTAGACTGAATCATCATAAGAAAATCTCTTCTTTTAGCTTAACTGGAGTGAACATGCACAGTTAAGTGCATTTGTTTGTGCCCGTTAGGTGCTGCTGTTTGAACACGATCCTGTCTAGCTGTTTGAGGTCATAAATTGCCATTAAACTGTTAGTGATCATCAACTACTGAAAACAAACAAAAATATAGCAGCCCATTTAAGTGTTTTCAGACTGTCAAATGGTCTTCACATTGCCAAACCAACAAACCTCACAGCAAGCCTGAAATGGGGAATTCTGCAAACAGGATTTTCTACAGCTCAAGCTCCACAAAACCAGCAAGACGGGAAATCAATCTATTTTATTGCCCACATACGGTGGAACTTTTCCTATGGCTTCACTGAGACAATAACAACAGTGTATTGCAGAGTACATAAAACAGGGGATTTTACAAAGTGTGCAAATTAGTGCACTATAAATAAGAAGACATAATCCAGTTCATAAAACATAAGACTCAAGCATGACACTTGCATATGCTGCCAACACAGTGCTCTAAAGGGACCCAACCATCAGAGTGCGAAAGAATAAAGACCCTCGGATTGAACAACTTCTTCACGCTGTTTTTTGTAACCTTTGCTACTCTAAAACATCAACCAGATGGTCATTTTACAAAAAAGTGGGAGTGGAGTAGGTGTGAGGCATCGTTTACTATTAACAGCTTTCCTATGAACACTGCCAGTGCACTGCAGATGTGGTTCAGCAGGTCCCGTTTCTGACCGATATTTTTGCTGCCCGTGTTGATGAGCCTTGAGGGCTCAGCTGTGCCCCCGAGAGAAAGGCTCCCATCTCACCAGCTGGGCACGGTGCAGGAGTGTCTGCCAGACCTGCGCAGGCCAGCTCTAGGACGACACTCAAGCTCCCCGATCTCCACGTGGCTTTTTCAAAAACAAACAACCTTTCCGACAACTCCCAGTATTATCAAGGCAAGTGCCCAGATATTTAAAATAAGGAACCATCTCCACAAGCCAACCGCTGACACGTACGGGCTGTGGTGTGGCTGGGGTCTGTCTGAGGGTAGCACTGACCTGATCTGCAGAGGTGGAATCCTCAGGGCGTGAACTAGTTACGCACCGGTAATGAGCTCACACCAGTTCATACAAGCATGGGAAAAGCCAATATTTAATACATTTGAAATCTTTGTAATGTCCACCTTTGCCGTACCTCAGATGTGTAGAGTGAAACATAGTCTCTATCTGCCTCCCCGTCTCTGTTCACACCACGCGCTTCTCCTGTCCAGAGCTGGAACCCCAAAGGGCTCGACTCGATGCCGAGGAACGAGGAAACGACTATTCCAGTTTTTTACCTCTAGGTTTGGTCAGTAAGCAGAGGTCAATGATTAGTGAATCAGATCAACAAAGCTCCGGTGAATTTGAGGACCTGTGTTACTATATTACAGGCCCTGGTAAGGCTTTCAGCTAAACAGATGTGCAACTGACTGCTATTTCTGTACCATGATAAAAATAAATTTAAAAATACATCCTGGTTGTATTTTTAGCTGACTGATATTTGAAAACTCCCCTTTATCATCCGCTAATTATAATGCACTGCTAAACGTTGAGCCTTCAATATACCCAGTGCCTGAAGGCCAGGGGCTTTTCTCAACAGAGCTGAGTGTTATTGTTCTGGTAGCAGAGTGAGACTGTAAAACTACTGGGATATACAGGGCTGGCATATAAATAATAAGACGAAGACTCCTCATTCAGACAGAGTGAACAACGCAAATGAGGTGTGAGGGTGGGGACACACAACACATTTGGCTAAAAAAACTTCTTAAGCTCCCAGAACAAATAAAATACCGCACTCAACCACCACCCCCAGAAAAAAACAACCATAAACTTTAAAACCAGCTTAACAGATCTTGAGCTTCCAGAGACTTACAGCTCTGGCACTGCAGTTATCTGTGCAGGTCGCCAGACTTGTGACTGAGGAGCTTGTGAGTACCAACACACATCAACTACTTGAAAGCAGAGATAAGAAAATGAATTACATTGGTAGATACACTGCTGATTAGCCTCTGTGCAACAGGAGCTACTCAGTGAGGAATGCTAATTACACAGTACCAGTTAAAAGAGCTCAAATGTACACAAGGTAGCCAACACCAGGTGTGCTTATTACACGCTGAAAACATGCAAGGATAATATTACTGTACATTTAAAACAGGCCTAAGTGCAGATGTTAATTATAAGTGAACACATTTGCATAATATAAGACTAACCATCTCAGAGGTTAGTCTTACAGGTTAATGCAGGACACCATTATATAGTTTATAGTCAAGTGACAATACTTAAATAGATCATGTAGTGAGTGATAACCTGCTATATTGATTCAGATAATCAACAAATAAGATATCCAACCAGTTCTGGAAGATAAATACAAGAAGGTCACTTGTTTTTTTTAACATCGACTAATTAAGCACATGATCTATTTGACTAACAGAACTCTGGTCCATGAACACTGAAGGGTACTTAACATTGCAGTCCTAGATGATCTGCAAATTGAACATTTGAGGAACCATCTGCTTAATTGGTCACAGTCAAATAGTTCCTGGTCTTAAGAAATTGGGGTGATCTATAAAACTTGCTGGACTAGGACTCCCAGGAACTGGGCTAGTGACCACTGATCTAGGATTTTATTTTTGGATTTTCAACATTATTAACGGACATATTAACTGGTATTAAAACTATCAGATTTGTGGTTGATGTGTACTTAAAATCACACCCCTCTTTGTAAAGTATAAACACACAGTTGCATCATCTGCATAAAGGCCCCAGTGTCAGGTCTCAGCCTAGAATGGTCTATTCTTGTTTTTCCAGATGTGGGTTCAGATTCCAGTACTTCTGCACTGGAAAGAAAACATGCTCTTCTTGAAACTAAGGCCATGACACGGAAAACATCCAGTGCCAGACATTCAGTTTTTTCCACCTTCAAAGGGGACGTCTGTTTCTGAAACCACATCGATCAGAGCTGCTCCCACAGCTTTTCATTACTGTTCCCAACACTGCAACAAGCATTAACCAGATAGTGACCCAGAACAAAAACTAACACAAATATAGTTTTAAGGCCCTAAGCAGACAGCAGAGTGCCTGTCTTAAAAACATGCTGAATTTTCCACTTGCTTAAAATGCTTGTTTGCACATCATAAATAAGATCAGTTTTTAAACGATCAAGATGTTGCAAATTAAAAAATATTTGAATAGACCTCAAACTTGGTCCTGTCTACCTGTCTGGTGCTTATGGGTGGAATGGACTTGGTGCAAATTGAGATTACAGGCAATCCGTCTCAATCCATACTTCTGCACAAACTATGTGACCTGTACACCCATCTGTATTCTAGAACGCTAAACAGAGGCATTGAATCCACAGGTGGGTAAACCACTCAGTATTAGCAAGAGACTGTGCAAGCACCATTCTTGAAAAGACTGATCCAGCCCTACCTCCTCACTGTTCATTAACACCCAATATTGCTGCATCAATGCAAGGTCGGCACATTTCTTCTGCATCAAAGTCATTTCATTTATGGCCAGGGCCTGCTGGGCATTTCTAAACTGTGGGATGTCCATCACATGGTCCCATGTACAGCACTTCTAACTACACAGTGAGACTCCAGCCACTGAAAATCAATTCTCCCATTTTGCCATGATCCCCTGTATTGATAAACTTCAAAGGAAGCTTGCATTTTCCATTCCCCTTAAATATCCTGGAAAAGGGCTTGGAAAAGTGACCTCTTATGGAGCTCATCTACATCCTGCAATCAAACATTCTTATTAAAAGAGGTTCACCCCAGCAAAGAGAAGATCTGTAATGGTGCCCAAGTACTATTGAAGTGAGTTAGAAATTCATGCTTACCAGCAATCTGCTCCTCTGTTAGTTGGTCAGCCTAAGGAGAGAGGGAGGGAGAGAGGGGATGTTAGAGGGTTACACTGGTCACCAGCTCAAGAACATGTTATGGCAGGTGCGTTAAACAAGCACTCGGAATTGATTCCTTTTCAATAAAGACTTTCTAAAATCGAGACTAACGGGCTGTTTAGCACAGTGAATGTATGGACTATAGAATAGCCAGTACTGGAATAAACCACTTATTACGAGCTAAATTTTATCTCCTGTGAATCCAGCGCTACAATTAGCTTGCATGCCTTTCTCCAGTTTCTCACGCACCAGGAAACGCACTCAAGACAACAGAATTGGTTTTGGCGACGCCCACATGATCTGTGGAACTGCTGTTTTATGACATCTGGGCCCACAGCCGTGAAGCCTGTGACCGCACACGGGGGAGGGGGAGGAAGTGTGTGCGGACTCCTCCGACCCGCCCATCCCGCAGCAGAGCCCTGGACTCGAGGGCCATGGGGGCAGAGCTGAGTCCCCTCCAGCGTTAGATCACTTTATTGGCCACATACAGTTTCTTGCATTAGGAATGTGTCTTTTCACATACCCCAGCTTGCTCTCCATGAGACACACAGACAGGGAGAGAAGCTGGGGGTCAGAGCGCAGGGTCAGCCAATTATACAGCTGGGGTTAAGGGCCTTAATCAGGGGCCCAGCGGAGTAGGAGTCCTCTGCTGGCCACGGGATTTGAACCAGCAACCTCCCAGCCACAGTGCCACCGATCCGCCTCCACTATGGCATTCAGCACCAAGGCCAAGAGGGGGCGCTGCTGGGTGAATACCCCTGCCCTGCCCTCGGCAGGGCTCACCCCACTGTCCCACATGACCCAGGCTCGAACCCGCAAGGGGATGACTGCTTCAGAAGCAAGACACTTTTGTGACCCACTTTCACACTGAAACCAAGTGACTCTTGAAACGAGTCTTAATGTGATCCAAGGTTCCATCCACCTTTTTAGAAATAAGGATTGATTCCCACTTCACTCCAGCATTTAGGCAACATTTCTGTTTCTTTCTGAAGGGAAAGTGTTTTCCACTGGATATCCAGCCCAGAGAGGTAAGATTCAGGTTACCGGCAATCCGATCCTCTCCCCAGCATTAGAAGCTGCAGGATCTTTCGTAAATTTCACCAATGGAGCAGAACGCATTTACTTTACTGTAATTTGCCTGCCCATGCAAATTTGCTCACAATAACAGTACCATCCCGGAGGACTGAAGCATCCTGTGCCAGCTGTTGGCTTGCACAGAAAAACAGAACAAACTGTGTGGCGGAAGTCGGTGGGCATCTCATCACAATTCAAGTAAAAGCCAGATAAACTACTGGCTGAAACCAGAAACAGGCCTTTTTTTGACTATACAGCCAGCACACCATGCATGTCCTTTCTTCCTCATCTTCAAATAGTAATGGAAGACACAGTCTAAGAAAACAAAAACTTGAATCTAAATTTTAACACAACAGCTTTCAGCATTCCAATCAGCTGACCAGTCCCAGCAGACATGCGATTGCACCGGCCTGTGACAGAATAAACCCACACAGTGCAGCTCTAGTCAGGCGTTCAGGCTGGGACAGGAACTCCCCTCTTATCAGCCACATCTATCGTAAACAACTCTTAACAGACAAGTGTCTCCCCACAGCCTCCAATGCCAGATATAGCTCCTCTGTGCTTAAAGTGTTAAGAATATTCTCATCTTCTGCTCCGAAACAGTAGCAAGACTTAAAAACCAAGGAGTTCTCTGGCAGTAACACACCTGAGCACTAGCATGATGTCTCCAGGTAACAACTTGATCTCCTACAACACTAACGCTTCACCCTTTAACACCATAAACCTGTGGGACAGGTTTACAACCTCACCGATGCAGTGGTGTAATACCTGGACATCACAGCCTCTGCTGGCAGCTGACAGGTCACAAATTCCTACCCTGCGTCCCCGAGAGTGTGAAAGCGCAAAACCTGCCACGTGCTCCTCCGACCTGAGCCAATGACGGTGGAGGCCGGGCTTCCCCGAGGAATTCGGACAGCGGGTCACCTGCCCCAGTGCCAAAACCACGGGCAGGCTCCGCTGAGCCAGAGCCTTCCTTGGGCAGGCGCCCACAGGGTGCTCCCTGCAGCCCTGCTCCCAGTCCAGCACGCAGAGCACTGTTCCCCCTGCTCCAGGTGTGCGGAGTCCCAGCAGCTCCCTCCGGCCGCAACAGAGACACGCAGAGCTCAGGATCAGGGGGGTTCGGGCCTCCCTGCCCAGCGCGCCCTTTCGGTTTCACGCCCCCCCCACACGAGCGAGGGGCCCCAAGCACACAGAACCAGACACAGGCAGGAACCTGCTCACGGCTGTCCACAGCGCCACTGTGCCACTTCGGGATACTGCTCCTGAGGGGGTCACACCACACCCGCCTGACAACAGCACTGCCAACAGCGCCCGGCTCCTTCAGGCACATTCCAGTCCGGGACAAGGAAGCCCTGCAGGAGCTCGGCTCCTCCGTATCCGAGGAAGATCCCGAGGCAAAGACACGGTCTTGCGGAGTACCACCGACAAGCCCAGCGCGCCCCGACACGTCTGCAGTCTCCTCCTCAGCCCCCACGCAGCACGAGATGGAAAGGAGATGGCAAAAGTCCCCAAAAGACACACAGGACACGCCCCAAAGCACACAGCTGGAAACCACAAACCCCCCGACAGCGAGAAGCCATGTTCAGAGAGCCTGGTGTGCTGTGGTCACACTGCATCAAGAGCAGATGCTACAGTTTCAGCTACTGACAAAGAGGTTATGTAAGACGGTGTCTACCGTACAGCAAGAAGCCAGCAAAAACACTCCCGAACTCCATTTCAAAGGTCAGAGTAGATCAGGTATGCAGAGAGAGGTGGGTAACGTGTAATGTCAAGCAGCGAACAAAAATAGATTAGAAATGCGGCCACTTTCGTAACGCTAGGGTGATGACTAAGGTGTGCCTTGAGGGCTGGGTCTCCATTATAAAGTGATTTTGAACGGGCTATGCCTTCCTGCTCCAGGTGGTCATAAACCTGCCCTAGCAACCTGGTGTTCTGGGCGGCGACACATAGAAACAGCAGCGGCGGCGGCGTCAACTCGCCACCGCAGGGGCAATTAAAGAGGGATCAGACAGCCAAAGCCCCTGGCGTGATCTGCCACAGACCGGCAACGCTCACGCAACGCACAGCCGCCCCGGTACCGATCAGCCCCGCCGAGCGGCCGCCGTGAAGCTACAGACGCAGTGTGCGCAGCTCATCCTCCGGAGAGGCGCCTCCGGCCACCCGTCTCGTCAGCCGGGTCCCGCACCGGGATGCACAGACCCCACAACACGCAAGGACCCACCCGCGACAAGATTAGCTGTCCCCCAGCCAGGCTGCGTGTGAAAGGTTCACCCCCGCTCCTAGGCGGCGGGTCTCCCGGGTAAAGGCTTCCCCGCATTTGAAACGAGTCAGATTTTTAAACGCGTGGGGCCCCGGAAAACGCGGTTTTATCCAAAAGGGGGAGGGGGAGGGGGGTGATCGGGGGTTTCGTTTTAGTCTGTAAGAGCCGTAACTATGTTTCCCCTCGGCTCCAGCGGCCACACACCGGCGCGCAAACCGCTCCCCCTCTCGCCTCTCGACGGGAGCCGCGGCTCCGCACCCCACCGACGAGACACGCACACGGGAAGCGAGCAAGCGAGCGGGCTACACCCCGGCTACGGTGTGAGTGAGCCGGGTGTCCCAGCCCTCGCCTGCCCGGCGCGCAGAGAGCCCCCGGTGCGGACGGAGGCGCCCCCGGCTTCCCAGAGCCCATCTCAGAGCCAGCCGCCCGGGACCTCCTCTGCTGGAAAAACGCGTTTGCTTACAGCACAAACACGACGACCCACAACCCTGCGCAGGGCGAGGACCGCCATCGCCCGTGCGGGCGGAGCCCCAGCCTGTCGGGCAGACGGACCGCCGGAGGAGACCTGCGGGGCTGCGGACACCGAACCCGAAGCCCCTCGATCGCGCCCCGGCTTGGGCTTCGCGGAACCCCCCGGTACCCCGCCACCAGCGAGCCGCCCCGCTTCCCGCCCGATCGCTTCAAAACAAGCCCCCCTGGTCGACCACGGCAGTTACACGCCATCAGCCCATACATACCATGTCCGGCGGCGGCGGGTTGAGGTCTCTAAACTAGACTAACAGGGCGGACGACAAGCCAGCGACGAGCTCTCTCTCTCACTGTGGGCTGGAGGTGCGCGTCTCCCTGCCAATGTCTATATACGCGTGTATTCCTCCGCCGCGCACGCACTCCCCGCTCGCCCGCTTCCTCACTGCGGGAGCCGGCGGAGGCCCCGCCCCCCGGCCGGCCCTTTGCGGAGGGGGCGGAGCTTCGCTCCACCGCCGCTCCGGTCCGCGCGCGCTCGCCCGCCCGCCCGCCGGTGGCTCAGCTCGAGGATGCTTCCTTTCTGAAAAGCGAATAAAAAAAATCATGAAGCGCCTTCTAAAAAAAAAAAAGGGGCGGAAAAGCCCGCTTATGTTTCGTCGCACACGGTGTTCCGAGCCCACAGCGCTCGTCAGGGGAGAGGGGGCTTGCGGGGTCCAAGTTTAGGGTCCCCCCCCCACCCCCAAAGTCATTCGTGCGCGCACATATCATCAATAAAGGCGGCCAGGAAAGGCCAAGCAAAAGTAAAACTAAACCAGGAGTTAACAACCTGGGATGTCGCCTTCATATCTGAACTCCGCGCACCAGCTGTGTTAAGAAGCCCAACTCCCCCCTCCGCTGTTGAAGCGATCTTTTCTCTTCAGGACCGAGTGGGGTCGGACTTGCTTCTGCCCTTTCAGAATGAAACTGGACAGTTTCTCAGGGACATCTTGAAAAGCGTTACGTTTTAAACTTTTAAACTTTTCGGCGCACTTCGAGATCGGCTGCTCTGCTTGGGAAAATCATTGGATCGTCTGATCCAAACACCGGAGAACCGGGAGCTGTCGGGCTGCAGAAGGAAACTTCCCGGAGAGGGTCTTTCAGGGATAACGGGCCTTGCTGTGGCGAGGGAGACCGGGTGACAGGGGAAAAAGACACCCTCTGAACCCTGGCCAGGAGTAAAATAAGGCTGTTTCCGTCTTGAAATGACCATTCAACCTGTCAGTCATTTACATGTTTTTATAATATATAGGTACTGACGGGAAATACACATCTTAAAACACAAAACACTGAATGAATGACCCGGCCCACGACTGTCATTAAGTCTGCAGGCATCAAGCGTGAGCTTTCACTTTGGCGTCAGGTCAGCCTTTATACTCAAACGGGTTCTGCAGACGTCCCAGTAGGGGAAACCTACCCCTAACCTGGGCTGATCTTCTTCAGCCAGGACAGTCATTATACTGTGCAAAAAGTGTGACTTCTCATAGATCCAACATACAGTATTATACACTACAATGTTTTTAAAAAAGGTTCAACACAAAATCGTTTTAATTTTAAATTTTACTTGAATTCTAGCTCAGCAGAAGTGTTTTTACACCCCGATTTGTTTACTGTCGTGCTAAAACATGAATACAAGCGGGGTTTCATTTCATATCCCTTCAGCAATAAAGCGTTGAACACGCACACTTGTGGCGAGGGGCAGTGTGCCTTTCTCTAAAGAATCCCCGAACTATTTTATTATACATGTCTAACAGACCTAGAGAGAAGAGCACAATTCTCGCAACTACTTCATAACGCAACTACTGGGGTCGCAGACGCTCAAAGGCTCTGACAGCACGTGAGATGCTAGATCCTGTTTGTGCAGAAAGTACCTTTGTAAGTGTGCTAAACCCAGACTGACACACAATCGCAATGCACCTGCATGTATCTCACTGGTGCGATTTAATGCGAAGAGAAACTCGCGAACACACATCTTCAGATCACCTTTATGTTATTACAGTCTTTGCCATTAAAAGCAGATCAATTCCGGGGGGGTATTTTCATTTCAATTGCATTGCTTTCGACAAACATCTGCACTCCTTAGCAATTCGCCTCCATCACCCGCCTCTCCCTCCAACGAAACCGCCTTGTCCACAGTGGCACATGCAGCGCTCAAGGAGGGCACCGGGCCGGGGACTGCTTTCCCAGCCCTACCCCGGCATTTCGTAACGTCACAGCCCAGAGCCCCCCGTTTCCGACAAAGACCCCCTCGCCCGCCTGCCAGGCACTAGTTTACCCCCGCGGAAGGATACGGCGCGCGTCCTGGGGCCGGTTTCCTGGCTGACGCCAGAGGAGCTGCGAGGGGTTTTGTGCCGCGGCCGCTGATTGGCTGGGGCGGACCCGCAGTGTTCCGCGCGGAGTGTCCCTGCCTGGGACTGGCCGCGTCAGAGCCGCAATGCGTCAGGCCGCCCTGCCAGCTGCAGGAGCGCAGAGGAGGCTGCATCGGAGGGGCCGGCTCCGGCGTGTGTGCGGGAGCTGGATTTATTCATTTTTTTTTACATGCATTTCAAATGTTATACCCCCCTCTCCTCTCTCTCTCCCCTCCTCCTTTCTTGTTCTCAACAGTCTGAAAAACTGCAGTTGCGTTTTGTTTGGTTAAAATGCATTTTAAGTGCCGCCCAGTCGGCTCATCGGGCTGTTTGAATTTTGTGTTCGGCAGAGGAAGGGGGGTGGGGTCCGTCCGTCCTCGTTGGCGATTGGTCGTCTTGAGCCACATCCAGCTACAGCTACACGGAAGTTTCTTAGCCCAGCGCCGGGAGTTACTCCATCTTAAAGTACTTCTCGATAGGAAGCGATCTGCGCAGGTTGTTCGCAACGAGTAGACAAGAGAGTATTAAATTTCGACTCCCTTCTTTTTACTTCTGTTTTTCCTATGATTTTGTTTTACCCCAAAGCAATGGTTATACATCGTTTAAACTCCAGTCTTTGTGGTCTGCATACTTTTAACAAACTATGAACTTGTGAAACGGTTGCAATTTCGGCCGTTTGTTTGATAATTCTGCCAAATCACTGACCTCTAGTGTCTTCAGCTAGAATCGCAGCATTAGTACTGTACAGGACTGCCCTCACGTAGCTTGTGCACAGAAAGAGGGTGAGGTACTGCAATATAACGCTCATTTTTCAAAGAGGTGTGCAAAAAAAAAAGAGAAAATATCTTAAGAAATCGTCGTTAAATTGTCAATTGAAATTTAAATAACCACGACTCATTTTAAAAGGAAATGACGGTTACAATACTGAAAATGATGTACAAATAAAGAAGTTCAGATTGGTTTATACAGTTCATATAATTCGACATTCATATAACAGCAACAAACCAAATCCGCACGATTTTTAAAATAAGTTAAAAATACATTTCCCACACACCCCTGCTACACCGACTTTAAGTGACGTATAATGCATGCGCCTGTTTGGAAGTTGGAGACAGTCTTTTTCCCCACAATGGCACTGTTTCCAGCTTTTTCGGGATTGTCGAGTAATAAAGCTCCAGACAGTAAAAGTTCATCGGAAGGTAAGTCCCGTTTAAACCTTCCTGCCTTCTTTTAAGACGTGGCTGATTGTGTTCAACAGGACCGACGCATTCACTGATAAATACAGCACTTCGGAACATGCTTGATCTATACTGGCGATGTGACAACTGATTCATAGTGTGTGAGCGAATAGATCCAGCATTGTTTTATTCGTTGACTTTTTTTCCAGTTTGAATACGCAAAACAAATCCCTAGTCTATTTTGAGAATATCTGTGACGTTTGACGAGCTCAACCGTGCAGCGTGCGTTCTCCAGAAACGGCGGACGATTGCAGAGATAAAGGTCATTATGAAACGGGGTCTCAAACTCAGTTCTAGGGGAGCCTCCTGCTGGTGGCTCCAATTCCGACTCTCGGGGGTGATGCTAGGATCCAGCATGTCTCCTGAAGTTATACACTTGCCTTCACTGGGGCGAAATAAACCAATTTATCCCTCCTCCATCTCCTGCAGCTGCTGACGATTTAAAGAGATAGAGGCAACCCGACTCCACGGCCAGCAATTAGCAGTCCCGGGGGTTAGTTAGTTTTCGGGTTTAAATTCTAACCCGTGCTGTCAATTAAACTATTTACTTCGATCTTGCAGAAATCCGTGTGCCATTTAAAATCGCGGAAATGGAGTTTGAGACCTCCCGCCCGTTGCAACGCTAGCTGACTCTTAAGAGAGGGCGAGATACGTGTAATTGTTCGTTTGCATCTTCAGAAAGTGGCTTTTGCTGCTTTTATTTCTTTATAATATATAATGTAACGCTTAACACGCAATCGTGTTTGAAAAGTTAAAGCCTGTAACCTGAAACATGCCCCGTGGTTCTGTTGCTGAGGTCAGTCAGAAAGAGCTGCCCCCCTTCAGGAGTTCAGTGTTGTAAGATACTGATGCCCATCTCACAGGCCTGTTCCCCGCACAATGAACCCCCCAGCATCTCATGGACAAGGCTCACCCCATTAAAAACAATGAGTCCAATTAGATAATTAGAGTCTCAGCTGGAAGGAAGTTGTGCTCCCTCTCCCAGTCTGACTGCTGGGGACTCAGGTTCCTGCTAATTCTCCACCCTGCTGAGCAGCTTCATCGAGGCCTCACTTGAAGTAATCGGGAAATACTGCAGATGTGTTGCTTAATGATCTTGTGATCTTTAAGCTGAAAATCTGTGCAAACTGTTACATTTTATGAAGAATAAGAAATCTCCACCATAAAAGCCCAGATGTGAAGTTAGCAGATTGTTAGTTCTGTTAAAGGTTTGATCATGGAACAGAGATCATCTGGAAACAAGAACTAGGGTTGGGTTGACTTGTGAAACAACAACCAGAAGGTACAAGTGGAAAGTACAAAGGGAGTGAATTTAGAACTTTGAACAGGAGGCACTTCTTTACAATGAAGGGTTGTGGAGTCTGGAACAAGCTGTCCAGCCGTGTTGGTGAAGCTGGTGCCCTGGTATCTGTCAAGACGCAGCTGCATGGGCTCCTGGGATCAATCAGCTACTCACCAGAAAACAGGGAGATAAGCTGAATGACCTGCTCTTGTTTGAAGTGGTTCTGATCAAAGCCCTGATTTATAGGCCTTTCCGTAAATCTGTTGTCTAGGTGTTAGACCAATAATAATGCATTTCTAGCTATTAAGCCTGCACCAAGAAAGTATGTTAAATGAATGCATTGCAGAATGACTGAAATATATCTTGCATTAACTCAAAAGTCATGACTCCAGTAAGGAAGAATAATTAGAATTGTACCAAGACTCTTATTGATAATAGTGTAATTCACCTAGATAAAAGAGTAAATTATATTTTGTCTCCATTACATAAAAGAGTTTGTAGCATACATTTTTTATGAGTAGACTGAGCTGTTGCACCACAGTTTAGTTAGTTGAAGAGTCATTCTATGCCAGCTCAAGCAGAAACACAGCATTCTCTCGTTTAACCCTCTAGATTTAGCTAGAAATGCATGCGTTTTTTTTAGTGTATAATGAGTTAAAAGATTCTGTTCATTCTATTTAAAAAAAGAGTATTTCCTTAACCTCTGACCTGGCACTGCTTGACCTTTGCTGATCTAAACCTCCCAGGGGAATTTTTGTCAAAATCTGAGAAACTCGGGCAATGGCTCCGTTTGAGTTGTTGTGCAATTATGCTGTAGTAATATGAAAAACCCATTAATCACCCAGTTCTTGAAAGTTCTAACATCTTGGTTTATTTTAAATAAAGCGACCATTTCCTTGTGTAAGCTGAGCTTGACACACAGGCTGTAAACAGAGCTGAAATAACCCAATGCAGTGTGCTTGGACTTTAAAAGTCCAATTAAAGAGTCCAGACGGGTATTTGCATAGTCACCATTTAAAAAAATGTAATTTATAGTTAGTTCTCAATGTTTTCATTTTGCAAAATTTAAAATAATGATAAAATTATGATTTGGATACAAGGGGTCCACACATCTATCCATTTTCAGTACAGGATAGCTGGGGAGTCTATTCCAGCAGGCGGTTAGCACAAGCAATGACACCAGTCCATCGCAGAGCACACACAGATACAGCTCATCTTATTCTTACTGTTTATTAATAACTTTTATAAACTATTAAAAAATGTATTATTTGTATTGTGAGAGTCTGGAACAAGCTGCCCACCTGTGCTGTCCAAGCTGATGCCCTGGTTTCTTTTCAGAAAGGGGCTGACTTCTAAGTAGTGGATTGTTACCCTTACCTGAATGAAAGGTTTTGTGCCGTGCTCTTTGGGACCCTTCAGTGTTATGAATTGATGTGGGATTTTTGTTTTTAAATATCCGTCTTCTGATCTGATAGATCACAGGCTTAAAGACTCGGTTGAGCTAATTGCGATTGATTTCCATTCTTCTTCCTGTCTGCAGGGTTGGATTGGCTAAGCAATCAAAGCTTCCGGACCGAGGATGCGTTAACCCTGCACCGGCTGGTGGTTGAGGAGGCTGACGAGAGCACACGGAGCCCCACAGATCCCAGGTGGAGTAACTTCGTCTCTTCCCAGGAGCATCATCATATAGACAGCTCCATAGAGATCAGTCAGTCACAGAACATCTTACACCCTGAAGGAAACTCCACGTGGAAACCCATTTTTTGCTGTGTTTAGGGTTAGGAGATAGTGTAGTCTACATTTCACATAAAAAACTACAGATATGCAGCCGGCTCTGAAGTCATTTCCCAATGAATGCTTGACAAGGACATTTTCCCCTTTGTGTGCTTGACGAATCTCCTGTGAAAAACAAACAGCAGGTGATTGATTTTCAGAAGCCGAAAATGATTTAGAAATTCTTACAGAGGGGAGCTCTCAGACACAAAGTGAAAGATATCTTTTGACATTCTGGATGGAGGCTTCTAACATGGTAACAAAATACAAAAATGTGCATTCTGAAACAATTAAATACAATCTGAGAGGGCTGTCTGTAGGAACAAAAAAGTTCAAATTTGTACTTCACAGATCAGATATCCTGGGGAATTTGTATCTCTTTTTCTTTCATAAAGAGTGGCATTGAAGATGTGCTCAAATCTGTAGCTGGTGCATGGAGGAAGTTGCCAAAATGCAACTCCTTACTGTCGGCTCCACTCCGGTGTGGAGTCTGAATTGTTGAAGAATCGTCTCACATCTTGGGTGACAGGAGCTGATCAGAAGTACCAGATATCTTTGCTTTGCTACATTTCTACACATATTCACGGTGTGCATTGCATCCAGTGCAAATAGGTCTTTCAAATTGTCCAGGAGATTTTTAAAATGAAACTGTTAATAGAATGGTGGTTAATAGAATATTTTATCTAGCGCCTTTAAAAGTGGCTTCTCAAAGTGCTTTACAGAATGACAACAATAAAAAATCCACAAGATGTGCACAATGAGAATACACAATGAGAGACAGAGTACATGGGAGTACTGAATACAGTAGGAGCAAAGGGGTAGATAACAGAACCAGTTAAGGCTCTTCTAAAGAGTAAGGTTTTGAGTCTGGATTTGAAGGAGTTTAGAGAAGGTGGCTCTCTGATACTTTGGGGAGAGAGTTCCAGAGCTTTGGGGCACAGCAGGAGAAGACCCTGTCACCCCCAGAGTGTAGACGGGCTTGGGGGACAGACAGGAGACCTGAGTTAGAGGAGCGAAGGCTCCAAGTTGGGGAGCAGGACGATAGTAGCTTAGACAGGTACTGAGGTTCCAGGCCATGCAGGGCCTTATAGGTGAGGATTTTGAAGTCGACAGGAAGCCAGTGCAAGGGCTCCAGGATAGGAGTAATGTGATCACTTGCACTAGACCTGGTCAGGATTCTGGCTGCCGAATTGTGGATAAACAGGAGTTTATTCAATATTGGTTGAGAAACCTAGTGACCAGAGTGTAACAGTAGTCAATTCGGGAGATGCTGTGTTGATCAGCTTATCAGCCTTTTTATTTATTTGTTTGAGAAGGTTGGGCATTTTTGTGATAATTTCTTGCCAGGTTTTCTGTGGAAAACGAGCTTTCAGATGGAAGAGAGGATGAGGATGTCTCCCAGTCCAGGAAAAAGAAGAAGAAAAAGAAGGAAAAGAAAAAGCAGAAGAAGAGGAGCAGCGAGGGGGATGCCGGCCTCATCTTTCCCAGTGATCTCTTAAGGAGTGAACAGGAGGCTGATGGGAAGAGGTACAGAGTTGCAGTGCAGCACTGACGGGGGGGTTACTTATAAAGCTGACCAAGTCACAAGGCTGCTCTATGGTGAGCTGCAATCTAGGACATCTCGATATTAAAAAGGTTAAGCATAAGAACAGTTACAACAGTTACAAAGATTTTTGGGGGGAATTTGACCCATCTAGCCTGTAGTTAATAGGCTGTTTCTTGAAAGAAGTCTGTATTGGCTTTAACAACATGGATAAAGCCAGGTTTTCCACCTCATATCTGCTGATTTAATCAGACTGGAGAATCGAAGCGGGAATGGGGCTGGGTGGTACTGAGACCAGAGACGCTTCTGAGAAACCAGGTTGCAGCTGTCAGTGGTGCTGGTGGACCAGTAGGAGGCGCCCTTCCCTCTGGACCAGAACTTCCAAGCCAGTGCCCCCAGCACGGTAACCAGGGACACAGTGCTGTAAGAGATGCTGTCCTTCACATGAGATGTTAAACCAGCATTCTGTTCACTTGGTCATTAAAGATCCCAGAGCACTGTTCTTAAGAGCGGTGTGACCCTTAATGTCATGTCCTGGCTTAAGTCCACTCTGGAATGTACAGGCTGGCCTCCCGAAAGTTGTCCTTTAGTTCAGTCGGTGAAGCCAACTCTCACTCCTCTGCCTCATCTGCTGTGCAGTGTGTCTGCAAACACATAATGGCAGCCACAGATCACCCAAGTGGGTCCCTGTCTGTCTGTAAAGCTGTGGGGTGACAAGTAATATGTGAACGTTAGGAACTTTTATTTTATTTTTATTGATCTCCTTTGTACTGATCAACATCTGTGCATCACACAGGCTGGAGCTGCACTGCAATTGGAATAAATTAATACTTTTTACGTGATTTAGATGCTATTGCATAGTTTGAATGAAAGGTTGAGTTTCCAGTTGCAGCGGTAAAGTTTCCTAGGGAGAACAAAGCCTAAGTGATTTCTTAGTTCAGTGAAATCGGTAGCACAGAGAGTGATTTCCTAGGGGAACACATCGAAATGTGCACCTTGAAAACTGGCCTTTATAGCCGAAACCAATTAAAATCTCTCTTTTCTGTTAGCAGCTACAGTGGGGATGTGTGTAATGTGAAAACGCTGTGTGACTCTAGGGCTTCGCAGTGTTTCGTGTATCTCGTACTGACCACAGGGCCCTGGGAGTATCTTCCTCCAGCTCTGTGGAAGAGGTGACAGACCCTGTCAGCAGCAGCACAGCACCATGCTGCTGCCATCCTGCCAAATTTAGCAGAGAGGCAACAAAATCTAGACAGGCACCCCTTGCACACCAACGTCTTCTCATGCGCCTGGTGACGATTGTTTTTCTTATTTTAGGTCAACATAGAAGTGATGTCATTTTTTCTTAACCATTGGCTGGTTAAATAAAATGCTTTGTTTTAAATCGCACTGTATAGCGCCAGCCACTCTTCGAGTCAGGTAGGGATGCTTAGGATAAATGGAATGATGTGACAACGCAGACCAAAGGAGAATGAGATCTCCCCCCTCCTTCCCCTGCCTCAGGGGCACAGAAGGAGCAGCTCCTTGTAAGGATCTGACCTCCTCTGCAGCAGAGCTCCCATCTGCAACCTCTGCGCCCTCTGGGGCTGTGGATCCCCGCTCCTGCTGGGCTGGTGGAAGCGATGCCAAGGTAAACCAGAGCCCCGTGACGCCAGGAGAGGAGGAGTGAGCCACGGTGCACGGCACCAGCACCTGTGTAGCCAACCAGGACCGGCTCGGGCCTCGGCCTGCAAGAGGCCGAGATCAGAATCGAACCGGAACCACCTCAGGTCTTCATAACCAGTTATCAAAACCCGTCTGCACTGAGCATATGAAAAAAAAGTACCTATAGCGCCCCCTAGGCACGGCCGCACTCGTTCTTCTTGCAGATCATGTGTGATGGGTGAGGGGTACTCTGCGATGGATCTGTAAGCGCACCTCGTGTAGCTCGCTGATTCAAGTTACTGTAATCTAGATTGATGTTCTTCCAAACACCGTTCCAGGAGATTTCCTTATCAGAGTCATTCGAATCCCTCTTCCAAACAGTAAGAGCTGCCCGTGTTTTGAATTGTTTTTATTTTTCCTCCCATCCAAGTCGCACGCTTACACACTGAAAATATTTTATGATGTCTGTGCTTCTCCATATGGAAGATTTGCCATTGAGGCTTACCCGGCCTGTCGTTCGCGTATTTCCCCAGAGATCATATTAAATCATGTTTACACTTTGCTTTGTAACGTACCCGTTCCTTATGAAAGTGATCTTTTGCTTTACGGATGCTGAGTACTGTGAATTTGGAGCTAACAGCGTAACAAATCTCAAGCCCTGTCAAACAGTCACTGTGCATTAAGGACAATAACAGCGAAGCCCAGGCTCAGCGTGGAGAAAAGACAGACACGAAACGGTGCCGTCGGTCCCTGAGCCAGAGGCAGAAGCCCCTGATGCTCGGGTCTGCGGCAGTGTGAGTCTGTCTTCGTGTTGTCAGTGCAAGTCAATCGGCCCTGCTAGGAACAGGCTGTCAGTGAAGCCGTTTGGCTCTTCAGAGCATCACAGAGGGGCTGCCAAGTTTGTCTCTGCATTTGAAACTTAGGTCACAGCACTCCTCCTGACTCCCGGGTGATCCTGCTTTGTCAGCAGTCTCCCCTGAGGGAGATGGGGCTTTTCCCTTTCTCTAGAGAGGCCTGCATCTTCACCGAGCTCTGGAGGACGTGTGTGCCTGAGTGCCTGGGCGCAGTGTAACCCAGTATGAAGTTACATAATACACAGCAACATTCCCTTAAGTTTTCTTGTATCATTTGTAAGTCCTAAATTGGTGCATCATTGCTGGGTGTTCAGGGGCAGCATGGTGGCGCAGTGTTTAGCATTGCTGGCTTGCAAACCCTATTTTAAGGGCGGTCAGATTGTGAAAACGGGCCTGAGGTTGCCTTAATTACATTTTAGATCAAGACACCAAAACTGCCCTCTCTTTCCGTCAAGACAGGAGAAGCAGCTTCTTCCTGAAGGCACCTTCAGATGGGCTGATGAGTTCCAGGCTCCTCCGGAGCTGCCGTTCTGTGTTGATAAGAAAGCAGACCCAGCCAACTGGGAGTACAAGTCCCTCTACAGAGCAGACATCGCCAGGTATTCCTCCTGCCCTCCTGCCTTCCTGCCTCCTGCCCTCCTGGGCAGGATTCTGTATTTCATTTGAAATGTTTTTGCTTTTTTTGCTTAGTTGACGTATTGCCGGTAAACCTCAGTTCTCATTATGGATCTCCTTGCCCCCTGGTTAAAAGTATTATTTTGCAAGCTCGAGTTCTGTTGTCTTATAGAAGACGAGAGGATGAAGGCAAGGGACTGAGAAAGTTCTAGTGGTCTTTATCCTTAAATGAGGTCTGAATTTTGAAGATTTAAGAATGTTATCTTGTCTCCATTTTCATTTGGAGGAAACTAATCTTGTAGACTTCGATATGTTTTTTTTATTTTGTTTGATAGCCAATAAGCTCTGCATAAGTGCTCTCACTTTTCTGGGCACTTGTTAATACCTAAACACCAGAACAAATACCGGTGCATGAAACCTAATATAAAAAGACTTTCGAAAACCACTGCACTATCTTCTAATGTGACACAGCACTGAGTTTCACCACAAAAACCTGTGTGTGCACTTTGATGTTCTGATGTTTTAATGGCGTCAAAGATCTTTGTGACCTTTTCATGCTTTATTAAATGTGACATTTTAAGGCCCTGCTTAAATATTACATATTAAAGTTATGCCTTGAACTTCATTCTTACAATAGGAATGTGATGTCTGCAAAAACTGCAGATGAAACATCGGTGTTCATATTTCAGCAGTAAGTAGAATATGCCCATCTGGTCAGTAAATTGTAATTTTTGTTGGCATATACTTTCACTACAATAGGACACCACGAACGTTTTATTAACTCAGTTTCAAAGCAGTGTATAAAGAGAATGGCTCCCATCCAGGTAATATCATATTTAATTGGAGAGCACAACCTGCACTTGTGACTTTAAAAGAGCCGCAATCAATATTTGCTGATTGAATTGTGTGTTGCGGTAGAGGCAGTGATTGTGCTCTCACTCTGAAGGTCAGGCTCTGCAGAGGTTTACAGTCACCCAGCTTAACCTGCAATTTAAAAGGAATCTCCACGGGGTGTGAGGAACAAAATAAATTCCTCCTTTGTCTGCTGAAACTCTAAAACCCGCCGCCCAAAACTGCCCTATTTCTCCATCTGTTCTGGCTTGTTTTCACTGCTCTATTGTGCCTGTCCTGAGGATATTTGCTGGCCCGAGTTCTTTATTCCTCGAGGCTCTAACGGATCAGTAGCAGCTGTTATCAGTTAAGGTAACTCCAGAAGCTGCTATTGTAATAAAAAATCAAAGGCCTTAGATTTCTGTAGAGATCTTTATTTCTTCTTGGGACAGAAGCTGTGACACATGGGTCCCACAGTTCTTTTCTAGTTTAATGAATGTAATGAATCCCAGTGGCAGGGGGCTGAAGTATGGATCACGAAAGCAGTCTTACAGGAAAAGCAGCGTTAAGGCTTTTTTCTTTCTGGATTTTGAAGGTATAAAAGGAAGGGTAACTGCCCCCTTGGCCTGAACCCAAAGACGCAGGGTGTAACGTGGGACGATTCGGCTTCGGAAAAGAAGAAGGGTGAGAAAAGGCAGGCGCAGGAGCGGTACTTCTCCAGGGCCGGCCGTCAGCTGCTGAGCGCCGAGGGAGCTCCTGTCCGCCCCCGCGCGGAGCCGCCGTCTCCCAGGGGCGGCTTCCTCCCGCTGCCCGACTGCCCCGAGGAGGGCGCCAGCGCGGCGGCCGCCCCCTCCTGGCTCAACCCCCTGGGGATCTACGACAGCTCCACCGCGCTGTGGCTGCAGGGCAAGGGGCAGCCAGAGGGAGAGGCGCCGCCGCCTGGTGCCCTCTGCGCTGCAGGGCCGGCCGCGAGGGCGGAGGAGTACAACAGGAGACTGCGAGAGAACCCCGCCGACGTGCAGACCTGGATGGAGTTCGTACGCTTCCAGGTGCGATATTCCGGCCCAGCCAGGTTAGCCGTGTCATGTCTGGGTGTTGCACACGCCTCCCAAGCCCGCCGGCCCCGAACTTCGTCTAATGTTAGAGTTAAAAATCACCTGTTAGGCCTCCTAGCAAGCGGTGGTGAAGATTTCTAGGAAATGAACTGAAGGCACAGGGTGTGATAACGTTCTGAAGAGCTACAGAAACGCACATGCGCACCTGTAGTTCTTCAGGTCCACTGATCGGGATGAATGCGGATGCAGTGAATGTAGAAGAGGTGACATTACATCTTGAACTGCTTGCATCTTTCTGAATCATTCTAATTTCACTTGAGAAGGGTTAGCTTTTGAGTGTTGTGGGCTGTTGAAACAAATGCATGATGTCAACGAAATATTTACTGAGGGCACAGTGTATACTTGCATGAGCTTGTATATTTGTACTGCTAGAGCGCATACCTTGATCACATCCTCTGGGACCTGTGGCTGTGGGCACTGCTTATCTTATTTCATTGGCAGATGTGGCATAAGCCTTGCAGTGCCCTGGCATCAAGAATACTGTTAGCCTATACAACATCCCTTCTGCCTTTCATGAGGTTACCAGATGACAAGGTGACAGAGCACACTGCAAGTTGAAGAATGTGTTTTCTACTATCTTACTTTTATCTCCTAGTTAAAGGGTGGTTTTGTATCTAAACTGTTTTTAGTAAAAGTCTTTGTAGTGAGGTGTACTCATTTGTATATGCGTAGGAGGTTGCAGACTCTTAATTGAGAACAGTTGGTATTGGTTTCAATTAACTAGTGTGCTTAAGCAGATACGGAAGAGATTGCAGTAGCTGTAATATGCCAAATGTAATGGCAGCACATTCCTCAACCAAAATTTAAAAGCTTCAGCATGGATGTTCAAAGCTTAATTTAAGTGGTTTCACTCCCTTTCAGTGGCATTGCAGTGATCTGAGATGTGTTGAAAGTTGAAGCATTGCAGGTTGCATGTCTTTCAGTTTTAACCAGTAGGTAAAGTAAGGCTTGATACAGCTCAGCAACCCATTAATTAAATGGGGGACTCAGGCCAAAGTCTCCCATTAATGAAATTCTTGCAGTGCAGTGCGGAATGTGAGAGCCCAGGAGGATAAGGGGTGTGTAGTAAATCGTGGTGATTGGTCTCCTGCCTGTCTTCTGAGTAGGATGGATTGTTCTGAGGTCAGGTTTCCAACAAAGACTCTGGCAGTCCGGGCCACACTGTTAATCATTTGCATTGTACTGGACTCCCTCGCGCCTCTACGCCAGGGGTGGACAGCACTGGTCCCGGAGAGCCACTGGCCTTCGGGGGGCTAATACGTTGCCCTGAAAGCATCAGTTTGTAAAGATCACAAGGGTCTGCGATCAATTCAGTAAGCTAATTGGCTCAGCTGCCGCAGGAATGACCAGCAGTGTGCTGGCATTTTTATGTCGATTGTTTTCTAAACCGCTGCATTGAACAAGCCGCCTGCCGGAGTGATCACATCCAAGACTGTTGCAAGTGTTTGCGACGCTGTGGGTGACCCGTGTCACCTCCTGGATTGCGGCCTTGTTCAGGCAAGGATTCTACTCGGAAGAATGACAAACCTTTCCTTGGATGATTAGTAAAAGCTCACTTTATACTTAAAGGTTTTCAGGAATTCCTTTGACTTCCTTTTTTCAAGAAGACTTAAGGATTCCCTTGTACCTTCTCGGTGAACATTCAGCATAATAGTGTTCAATTAGTAAAACGATTAGAACCGTTCGAGTTGTGGATGCAGTGGTGTATTTCCAGAAACAATCACATCATCACTGAAAAATAAATTGTGGTCTCATTGTGATGTGAGCCTGGTCAGTACCTGGATGGGAGACCTCCTGGGAAAAACTAAGGTTGCTGCTGAGAGAGGTGTTAGTGGGGCCAGTAGGGGTCTGTGTGGTTCCTAATGACCTGACTCCTGACTCTCTGGTCATTAAAAATCCTGGGGTGTTTCTCGAAAAGAGTAGGGGTGTTTTTCCCATTGGCCCTTACCAATCATGGCCTCCTTATAATCTCCATCTATGAACTGGCTTCATCACTCTGCTCTCCTCTCCACTGGTGTGTGGTGAACGTTCTGGCGCACTATGGCTGCTGTCACATCATCCAGGTGGGGCTGCACACTGGTGGTGGTGGAAGGGAGTCCTCATTACCTGTAAAGCGCATTGAGTGGAGTGTCCAGAAAAGTGTAAGCAATTATTATTATTGGATCATGTATTTGACCCGAAAATTGTTTTTGTTGACAAAATTAGGATGAGCTGATGGCCGGACCCAGCGCCTTCAGCATGACGGAGAGCGACTCTGACAAGGGGAAGAGATCCCTCAGGGTGACCGTGGAGAAGAAGGTCTCCATCCTGGAGCGAGCCATCGAGAGCAGCCCGGGCAGCGTGGAGCTCAAGTTAGCCCGGCTGGAGCTCTGCCAGGAGCTCTGGGAGCCCTCCACCCTGCTGAAAGAGTGGAAAAAGCTCATCTTCCTGCACCCCAATAACACAGAGCTGTGGAGGAAGTACCTGGTCTTCAGCCAGAGCCAGTTCAGCACCTTCTCGGTGTTGAAGGTGAACGGTGTTTATGGAAAGTGCTTAAGCACTCTGGCTGCTGTGCACGATGGCAGCATGGTGTCGCACCCCGCGCTGCCTGGTACCGAGGAAGCTATTCTAGGTGGGTCATCTTCAACTTCTCTTGCACGAGAGTAAAATGCCTTGGTGTGCTGCCAGCTCCTGTCGTCTTGTTGAAACATGTCGCCAGCAGAGCTGTCGTCATGCACTGATTGCAAAACAAGCCGGTTCCAAGAGCAGGTTGCGTAGGTCCAGACAAAAAGAGGGTGGCAGGATATAAGGGTTTTGAGATGATAACACAGGTCCTGCCTAGGCCTGTAAAAACTGCATTCTTTTGCAGCTGTGCAGGAGGAGAATTCACCCGCTTTTCTACACAGTGGTGGGCGTGGCTGTCAGAGGACACCAGTGGCTCTCTTGTACTCTTATCTTGACTGTCGCAGTGAGGAAAGCGATTGAGTTTTTTGGTTTCTCCATCTGTCGTTTTAAAACAAATATAATCAAGCGGGTTTTACAGAGTCCTCATTGACTTCTTAGTCCCACTTATGTTGCATTTATATCAAAAGGAAAATCAATTCTTTTGTGATCCGTACGAAGCCTGACACCAAGTCCATTCTGCGTCGGGGTTAGTGCAATTGTAAATCAGAAACTTTATCCTGTACGTAAACATTTCTTTAAAGGGAAAATATCCCAGGTCTGGTTTCTCAGTCTGTCATGGTGAATTGAATTGTTTGCTGTAGTATTTCACATTTTGACTGCAAGCGAGCAAATAATTGATGAGCGAGAGGCTGTGGAATGCGGAGACGATGTAATTAATGGATGGCAGGCAGTTTAACGCCAGCGATTTTTATTGTGCAGTAGAAGGCTGAAGCACAGCAGAGGGGATCACATTAAGTTGATTGCTGAGCATAATGGTGCAGATTTTGCAGTGTAACTGATCTCTGCAAACACGGCGATGGATCACCTGGGCCTTGGACATGAGCAATGGGCTCCCTTTGTAACAATGAGTAACAATGCCTTGGCTACCTTCTCAAAACGAGCTGCAGCACACTGACATTGGGAGAATTAAACAATTATCGGATTCAGTTTTTGTTTTTTTGGCTGCTGTTTGATTATTTTGCGTGGGAATCCAGGCTCATGACCATGTTAGTGTCGTTGTGGGATTCAGCAAGATATGTGTCTTTTATGAAACCCAGAGGGTAAATTGTGTAGATCCCAAGGGTAAATAAACGCTGGGGGCATATCACATGATAAAATATTGTGAAATACCTGATCTATGTGATACATACCATGAAACATTAATAATGCAAGAAATGAGTATGGATCCATTTGTTCCATGATAAAAGCCTCTTAGTATAGCCTTGGGGACATGTATTGTATAGATATGAAAGACTGTTTGATTGCTTAAGTTACCTCTTTCTACTTTTCTATGGTTTTGGTCCCATGCTCCTCCCAGACAGAAGAAAAGTGTACTGTATAAACATTACTGTGTGATGTACTGCGACATCACACCAGGACATTAGAACAAAGAATCAGGATGAACTGATTTTGGTCAGGAAACAAAAAAAAAAAGTTTGTTTTTAATAATTGTTTATTTTTTGTTGAGACTATATTAACTTTGTAATTTAGCCGCAAAAGCTTGTAAAGTTTATAAGCTCACAGTCTGATGGCAGTTTTTTTAAACATTTTAAAAGAAAATGGTAACACATGACATCTAGTGTTTAAAAGGGAAACTTCAGGCCTGAGTGCCACATTCCATATTCTGATAAAAATGCAGACTGCCTTGTATCATTGTATCTGGCTTGTGCACTACTGTTGCACTTGATTTCTGTTACTGTTACTTTATTACTGTTGGGTTTATTAATCCAGTAAAAACCCTCCTGTAGAAATGGGTCAGTTTGTAAAGAAAAACGTTTTCTCCGCTGGCCAGCTTTGTCAGTCAGGAAATAAAAATGTTGACCTCTCCAGGGGGCATATCTTTTTAGTCGTGTTTGAATCTCTACCCAGCAAGCTCGGGAGCCGTATCTTAACAGTGTGCTTTTCTCCCGCCCTAGAGATGTTCCTGCAGCAGTGCCAGTTCCTGAGACAAGCAGGACACTCCGAAAAGGCTCTGTCCCTCTTCCAGGCCCTGCTGGACTTCACCTTCTTCAAGCCCGACAGTGTGAAGGACTTGCCCACCAGGCAGCAGGTACTTCCTGCCCTCTGTCGCTGCCGGAGTCGCCCTCTGGCATAGCGGATAGCGGTCGGGCAGAAAACCCAGTGACAAGGCACCCTGTCTAACCCTCCGGAGCATGTCTGGGGTGCAGTGTTGTATTGTCTTAGACTTATGCAATGTCCGTATTTGGAGAAATTAAGTAAAATGCGGGGAATACAAATTAAATTCTAAGACACCCGCCCCCCATCCCTAGCATTTTAGATTTATTGCATTTATTTAATTATTGATGAACAGTTATATATACTGTAAATTTACTCCTAGAGTAGTTTGTAAATCCAACATATGTTGTTCAATAGTAAAGAAATGTCAGGACTGATTCCCAGGTTCAGGAAGTGCTTGATCTCAGCTGTGCAGGATGACCTTCGTCGGTGTCCTGTGCTTCAACCCACCACCCAGTTGTACCCTACAGCTGATTACCTGATGGCATTTGGTTGCTTGCAGGAGACAGATCCTCTAAAGGCCGCAAATAATTCTCGGCCATTTTTTGCTTGCACTCCGCAGATAGCAAACCCCAGGGCTGTGGGATGTTCTGTGATCCCATGGGTGTTTGAAAAGATTTGAAAGGATTTGTCTTTCAGCTGCAGCGTACTTTTAAGCACTGCTTGTATGATGTGAAATCACAGCATTAACTGACACACTTTGTTGAGCTCCAACATGATGTATTTTTGACCGGGTTCCGTTTTCCAGTTTTGCACATGTGCTGCTGTCTGTGAGGGAAGCACTCCTCCTGCAGTGGTGCTGATCCTCCAGGACAGAGCTGAGACATTTGCTAATGAAATCAGCAGTAGTAACTAGACTGTATTGTTGCTATAGGCAAAAAAAATCTATTTTACATTTGGCTTTGTTGATGTTTCTGACTTGATGCTTATTTAACAAGTGATAATTCTGGCCTCTGAGATTTCTCTTCAAATCAGATTTGGTTTGATTGGGTTTGTTTGTATGAGCCCTTAGACCTGGATTTCTTTAACCTTGGGTCATTGACTACCGGAGTAAAAGGCTTATCCCCCAGGCTGTGATCTGGATAATATCTGTTTTCCTCTGGAAACTATGCTGATGTTGTTTCAATGCTTCACTGCTTTAATGTGCCCACTTAACAAGTGGGCTGTGTTCTTATTCATCTCAGCCTCAAACTCCCAGTTTGTAATGCCTGCTGAGTGCAAACCGAAAGAGCTCTTCCACATCAAAGAAATCATAATTATTGTTTTTATGCAGCTGCACAATGGGTCAAAATTAACAGAAGCAGTCAGGCTTTTCCCTTCATTTATTACAACAGAGTACACTGAGAGCTTTAGCTTTTCTTAAGGTGTCATTTGCATTTATGAACCAGGTAACCATGGCGTTACCTTCAGCTTTTGTATCGCCCTTAAAGTAAATGCAGCTGCGTGTTTAAAATTTTTAGCACAGGTGTGAATACGTGCAATGGTTAATATGCCCTTTGAAGGTTGTCTTTCTTTCTTCCACCTCTAATATTAAACTCCCCTGTTAGGTTTTAAACTGCGAGGTGTGATCTTGCATATGAGATCCAATAATGAATGAATATTTTCCTAGTTTGCATGCTAAAGACGTTATTTGCATTCATTGCCTTTAGCCTCTGTGAAGTTTTTCTGATTAAATTCTGAGAATAATATCAGATTTCACACCTGAATGTTGGCAACAATTTCTGTTAGCTTTTTTTATTTGGTAAATTAATTTAAAAAATATGAACGGTTTATATACTGTTTCCTTAACTTTAAATGATACATGGAAAACGGAAAACTCCATGACAGACGGACACTTGTTTTCTTTCTTTTATAATAATATGCAGTTATTCAATTGCTGCTAAAAGCAACCCTTGATTAGTGCTTAGTTAGGCATTGTTGCTACTGTTATTGCCTTATTATTCTTGTCAGGCTGAGGAGTGTTTTCGGTCCCTTTTTGCAAATCACAAAAAAGCTTTATCGCTTGAAAACTCTGATTATTGAGCACCACTTTGAGATGATTTGCTCCTGCAAAGTTAAAAAAAGATCCTTAGTGAAAAGGCTTAAATAATCTCTGCTACATATAAGAGCCTCTTTTGCTATGTGAATTGTGCAGAGCCTGTCCAGACAGGGACAAACGATTTCCGATTTGTTTCCTGACATTTGCAGTGATGAGCACAAGGGAAAGCTCTGCAATTGTTTGCCAGTGTCTTTTTGCAAAATGTTGTGTTGCACTCCCTGCACAGAGTGACTCAGTATGTACCTTCAGGGCCTTCTGAGTGGCTCACCTGGGAGATGAGCTCTTATGAGCGCAGGTGTAGCTCTGTGATCACAGGTCCGAGCCCGAGCCACACCACCAGCCCAAAGCAGTGACCCTAAGCAATGGCACAGATGGGCAACACAGCGCCCCCTGTGGTCTCCTGGGTGTTTGCAGAGGTGTGGTTGCTGTCGCCGTCCTTCAGTTGCTGCTGAACCTCCTGTAGGAGGCTGTGAGTTGTGAGCGGCTCAAAGTGGGCGTGTCAGAGGAGTCTGCCCGCCCTTCCCCCCTCTCCCTCTCCCCGTGTGCGGTCGCGTGGTCGATAGGCGTGCAACAAGAAGTGCAAAACACACAATTGGTAATTCCAAGTCAGATGGATATATTAATTGCAATTTTAAATGATTAATACAGACGTGTGCTTTCAGCAAGTCTTGACTAAGGATTGAAGAAGGACAGTGAAGCTCACAGGGAGGAAGGCAAAGCCGTTCAGTGCAAATCCAGCGATTTACAGTGAGAGTGTGTGCAGTGCTGCTCCTCATCGCAAAGCCCTTGATCCTGGCTGTATGGGTGAAGATCTGTGCTTACAGTATTTTAAACCACTGGAAATACTTCATCTTCCCTATTTCTCCCAACCCATTGCTGTTTGTGAACAGGTGGAATTCTTTGAGCCCTTCTGGGACAGCGGGGAGCCCCGAATAGGAGAGCGGGGTGCCAGGGGCTGGAAGGCATGGATGCGTCAGCAAGAAAGGGGCGGCTGGATTATACCCACAGAAGCAGGTAGGGAAGGGCGCCTCCTACTGGGAGAGGGCTAGGCTGCTGACAGATGGAGCCAGACCTCCCCTCCACTGCACACAGAAGGACCAGCCTCCAGCTGTTAATCCCATCGGTGGTCTGCTGCTCCTGAGGTGTTCTAAAAGTTAACCGACGATTCGTGGGGCCAGTGGAAAAACGCACACGGGCACGCAAGAACGCAATCCGGGTGTCCTCTTCCCGCAGACGACGACGACGAAGATGCGGACGATGACGATGGCGAAGTGAAGGACAGGTCTCTGCCGAAACCCCAGGTCTGGCTGGAAGTGGAAGCGTCTCGGGAGGCCAGGCACTGGCTGCCCTGGAGGCCGGACAGGGCCAAGGGCCAGTCGGAGGAGGACTGTGAGGACCCTGACAGACAGGTACAGCGTGCGCCGAGGTCAGCTGTTTCTCCAGAGGATCTAACACCGGTCCAGAACCACACCTCTCCATAACTTTGCTGAGTGGTATTGCTCAGCCAACACAAGGTGGCGTACTTCTTCCCCACTCCCAGCAGAGTTTCCTTTACCTTTTCCACTGAAAACAATCCTAGTGAAGACATATTTCTACTGCGTGGTTACGGTTCTTAATTTATTAGGGTAATGCCTTCGTCCAGGGCAACAATACATAAACCCAGAATTTGCGCCATGAAGTCACAATATTTCCTAGGTAAGTGGGCTGAGTGTAGTGTGTGATAACAGAGGGCGGAACTGAGTTGGCCGTCCTTGTCTGTTCTGGTTTTGTCACGCAGGTCTTGTTTGATGACATCGGCCCTTCCATGATCAGGATTTCCAAGCCTGAGCTGAGGTTCCAGCTGGTGTGTTCGTTTCTTCACTTCCTTGGGATTCCTGCGGAGTGCAGCTCCTCTGACCCTTTCTGGAGCATATTCCTTGATAACCTCTCGGTGCTGGAAGAGGGACTGGAATGGGAGAGGCCCTTAACATCCCTCTACCCTGAGCATGCTGGGATCAGCTCTGTCGGGCACATGACCACTCTGCGCAGTGCCAAGAAGCCCATCGGCCTCTGCAAGCAAGGAGAAGAGTTTGTGCAGAATGTGTTCCAGCAGTTATTACCACTGTGCTCTTCAGAGGAAAAGTCCCTTCTCACACTTTACTGGATACAGTACGAGAAGTTAAAGGTTTGTGAGTGAAATGCATGTCCTTTAATAACCAGGGCTTCTGAATAATGATGGTAAAATAATTAATAAACATTCCGCATTGTATGTTGAGCATCAAAATAAAATTCAGTAAACGATCATCAAAGACCAAGTTGTCCAAGGAAGACGAAAGCAGTTGATGACACAAATTGCATTAGAGCTGTTTAGAAAAACCCTAAAATATCAGCCTAAGAGATTGCAGACAGTCTCCAGAGGGCAGGGGTGAAAGTTCACTGTGACCTGGCTTTTGACAGGAGAATAGTAAGGGCTGTGCTTCAAGACACAAACCTCTCATCGGCACTGAAAACAGAAAATCCAGATTCGAATTTGCAAATAAGTGCTAGGACGAGAAACGTCTATCAAGGAAAGACAAAAGGACGGAGAAAGTAACTGCGAATGACTCTTAAGGGGAGTGACGCCCGGTGGATTGAGTGTCCACCTCTGGAACTGGCTCGCTGGTCTTTAATGATGCTGTAACAGATGATAGCTACATAGTACATGACTTGGTGGCCAAATTTGAGCCCTTTTGAGCATTTGTGGGGCACGCTGGGACAACATGTGCCATGTGGCATGTAGGACTCACAGATCTGTGGTCAGGTACATGCTCATATGAGAAGGAAGGGACCGAATCCCAAACACAGCATCTGCCTCCAGGAGCAAAACATGAGTTGCTCATGTACAGCTTGTATTTCTTCTAGAGGGGGCCACACATGTGACTTAAACCATAGACACCAGCTGATCAACCATGCTACAGTACAATGTGTAGAAGGGTTTTACCCATCACTTATATTTTCAGTGCGATCCCACTGTACCTGCTACTGAAAGACTTTACCATTGTCCCCATAATAATTTTGTGAAGTTGCTGGAGTGGGAAGTTTCTTTCGATGTCCAGCATACATCTATCACGGAACAAACTGATTCTGTTATGTAGAATGTCACCAGAAAGCCCTAAGGGCCCTACTGAAAAAAATGTCCTCAAGACTTCAGTACAGTAAAACCTTGTTTCGGTTCTTTGAATGCAGAAGGGGAATTTGGGAATATGGAATGAATTGCACTTTTAGAGCTCAGTTTTCCTTCTGCAAAAGAGGCGCAAAGGTTGTCTTCGAAGTTCATTTGCCGTGCAGCTGGCACAGCCTGCTACTTGCCCCATGGGGGAGATGAGGCTGATAGTTTTGCTGTCTGGTGTTGCCGGAGGTTATTGAGGCAGCGCCGTGCAAGTTGGATTTCATGTCGGCTGGTTCAAGGCAAATCTGCTTTAACGTTCCCTCTTGTGAAATGTCCCACAGGTGCTCAGGTGTCTGCAGAGCAACCAGAAGAAGAGGCTGAAGTCCCAGGGGAAGAAGAGCAAGCGACTGGCCAAGAGTCTGCTGAAGGTGCCGGAGAACCGGAACTGCCTGGGCCTGTGGAGGCAGTACGCCCACCTGGAGTGGCTGCTGGGGAACCTGGAGGACGCCCGCAAGGTCTTCGACACCGCCATTGCCATGGGAACCGGCCGGGGGCTGCAGGACGCCGCGCTCTGCGAGCTCTGCTTGCTGTACGCCCAGCTGGAAGTGGAAGCAGCGGAGGGCGCGGCCGCCGGGGCCTCTTCCCGCGCAGCCTACATCCTGACCAAGCTGGCCGAAGGCGGGCCCTACTCGGAGTACGAGGGACAGGTGTCCCCGGTCGGCGTCCTCAAGGCCCGCAAAGCCTACGAGCATGCCTTTCTGGACGTCTCGTCCCGAACCGCAGACGGCCCTGTCCAGCCCGGGACTCTCGGTAGAGCTGTGAGCGTCGCCGGCTGTTTTGCTTTGTTTCAGTACCTGACCATGGGGATCGAGGCCGCGGACAAGGTCTACAGGCAGGCAGGTGAGCGAGTGGCCGAGGGCCTCTCTACGAAGACGTCGGCCCGCCCCTCGGAGCTGGAGACCCTGGCCCTCATGCAGGCCACGCTGCTCAGGTACCACATGAAGGTCAGCGTGTTCCCGGTGCGCCCTCTCAGGGAGGCTCTCACCGCGGCGCTCCGGCGCTCCCAGGGCAGCGCGCGGCTCTGGAAGCTGTACGTGCAGCTGGAGAGCCGGTACCACAGCGCCAGCCGGGCCCGGAGGTTCTTCCACAGCGTCACCAGGAGCACCGGCAGCGTCGTGCCCTGGCTGTTCGCCATCCACGCGGAGCAGCAGAGGAAAGAGCTCGTCGATTCTGTGCAGAGGTGAGCTCTCGCAGCGCTGCCAGGAACAGCGATGGGCGTGGCCCCCGCTCCTTCTTCCTCCTGCCGCCAGTCTGTCTGCAGAGGCAGCTTGTCGATCTGTTGAGCTGTTGAGCGGCGTCTACAGCTGACGCCGATCACTGGTCACCGCAGGCCTGTTCCACCCACCTTTCCTTACTTCTTGTCCCAAACGATTGGGGACATATAGAGACGACCCAGAAAACGCTTTGAGCAGAATTGAGATGTCTGTGGCATAAAAAATGTCTGAAGCAGTGCTGTGTAGTAGTAATAGAGAACACGCCCAACCGTGAGACCGATTCATAGTTTTCCCCTCAATGGAGATCTAACGGAGATTAAGATTAATTTAAACCAAAGGATTAGAAAATAAACACCAATAGTTGTGTGTTATATCCCTTTCCTGTTATAGATTCCATGTGTATCCATATAACATAGTGTTGTGGTTTCCCTCTCCCAGAGCTCTTTCCATTTTCTCGTCTGTCTTGGCAGGGTGGGGGGTGAAGAAATGCACTCCACCATACCGGAGAACGGACTGAGCAACCGAATAAGAGTTCTGTTTGAAAAAGCCATCGCCAGTGAAAATGGCTCCCACTGTCCCCTGCTGTGGAGAATGTACTTGCACTTTTTGGTAAATACAAAACAAGCTTGCTTTCTGCCACTGAGCCCACTTCTTCACACAAGGATTGTGGGAATAAGGAAGAGAGCCGCCGAGCTCTGTTGTTGAAGCCGATACCTCGGCTTCCTTCAAGAAATGGGTTGCTAAGATTCTCAACACCAATTAGCTGCTAGGAGCCAGATGTGTGGTTTTGGTCTATTCGTTTTTTAGCATATCTGTGCGGTCCTGTTTTTCTCCATCCGGATGAAGTCATGCTGTTGTTGTGTTTGTAGGTGTCCCAGGGAAACACAGAGAGGAGCAGAGGGATCTTTTACAAAGCTCTACAGAACGTCCCGTGGGCCAAGGTGAGCAGGCTGGTTGCACAGGACAGGGTTCCTTTCCGGCCATAAGCGCAGCAATTGTCTGTCCTGTTAGCTGCAACACATGTATTTACTTGTTTGTAGATCAGATAAGACTTACCTTCGGGATGATGTTACTAGTCCAGTTTAGCCTAATTTATGGCCCTCAAAGAGAACAGACAGGCACAGAACGTTCTTCTTCTGCAGGGGACGCAGAGGGGAGATAAACCTGCAAAGTGGGGGCATCAGTCAGAAGTCATTTAAAATCTTCCGCCCCCGTCTGGCTTCTCACGGTGCAAACCCCAATTTGTTAAAGAACCCCACATTTTCCAACATGCGACGGGGTTCCCGCGCTGGAGGAAGCGCCGTGTTGTGCGTGTGTGCGTGCGCTCTGAGCGGCCGTGTCGCTGTCTGTGCCCAGGGTCTGTACATGGACGCGGTGGCCTATTTCCCGGAGCGCGTGCAGGAGTTCCTGGACCTGATGACAGAGAAGGAGCTGAGGCTGCGCGTGCCGATGGAGGAGCTGGACATCCTCCTGGAGGACTGAGCCCAGACCCCGGACCCCGCTGGACCAGCTGCAGAAGGCGCGCCCGAGTTCAGTTTGAGCTCTCTGAACCGTGTACTCGGAGTTAAAGGCACCTGCTAGCTCTGCCAGGCCGCGTTCCAATACTGTAGTCACTTTACCAGCCTCGCGTGTGAAATGAAGAAAGTGTGCATTTAAGAATGTGGTTGTGGAGCTTGTGAGTGGCTCAGACAGTAGTGGTACACACTTTGAGTGCAGGTTGGGCTCCTTGATCCTCAGATTAGGAGATAAGGCCATGTCATGTTACAACCCGACTGTGACGGCCACTGAGAGGAGTCAGGCAGGGCTTCAGGGGGTGCCTGCAGTTTGTGGTAACAGCAATGATGACATGCCTCTCCTCCAATCAGTGCTGATCCTCCCGTGGGTCACTTCAGAGTGTGCAGAGAGTCAAGAGATGATTGGTTGGATGGCGGACGGGGTGGGAGGAGCCAGGCTATCCTTCCTCATTGTTCCCCTGAGCTGCAAAGCGAGACACAAGGAGTCAAAGACTGAGTTTATAATTAAGAATAAGCAGTTTCTAATTTTAGAAATGTAGAAAATTAATATGTATCATATTGTACAGTTTATATGAAAATGTATTAAATATTCTTTAAAAATATCATATTTTGTCTTTTTAACTCTTATTATTTGTTCCTGAAATCTGTTAAATGTTATAAATTTAATATTTTCTATTTACAAAAGTTGTAGATCATTTTGTTCCTGCAGACCTTTGGAAGAATTATGACTTTTAGATTAGCACTAGACAGCAACCCATCTTCTGTACCATTTCGGCATAATGCAAAATATTTGCAGAGAATGATTATCAAGGTGTGGTTAGCAGTTCTCAGTGCCCCAAGTTCCATAGCAGCAGACTCTGGCAACCATTTATCTTGGTGTTCTTCAGTGGTTCCTGCAGTTCCACTGACCAGAGTAACACAAAGCCGAAAGTGTTTTCTTCTTTTCTGGGTCTCGTAGAAAAGAGGTTTCTACGAGCTGCTATCGACTCTTACTGGATGTATGAAACCACGCTCTGTACGCATGTGATGTCTGAGGAGGCCTGGGAAGACTTGGAGAGTGAGAGAGCTGTGTCGTGCAGCAGTCCGGGCCAGTCTCGCCAGTCTCGCCAGTCTCGCCAGTCTCGCCAGTCTCACCAGTCTCACCAGTCTCGCAGGGTCTGGTGGCACTTTCCATCCGAGGAGCTGATTGAGCTTGCAGGGCACAGTCGCAGCTCTGCTGACGCAGCCAGACAGCCGTGGGTTCAAGTCCTGGGAGGGCCAAAGTGTAACGGATTGTTCCTGCATAAAAACACCCAGCTCTGTTCATAGGTGTAGACTGGCTTTGGATAAACGCATTAACCATATAAATAATAAATACTTAAAACCCCAAAAATGTATATTGGTTCATGGTGTCATGGTGTTTTAGAAGAGTGATCCTTATTTGTTGGTTATAATGTTCTGCAATAAAATAGTTCTCTATTATTTTAGCTCTGATGTAAGTTTAGAAATAAGGTAACTTGGCGGGCAGTATCCTATTGATCGTCGGACACTGTAGCACACTGTCACGCACACTGTAGTGTCACAGAGCGGGTGCTGCTGGTAGTTCAGGTCACTGTTTACTGCAGTGGTGGGTGAACAGCCGCAGGGCTGGAGGTGTTTCACTGCGTTTCCTGTGTGAATAATCAGCTCTGCGATGACCAGCTGAAGTGCTAATTGACCAGAGCTGGCTGGTTGAACATAACCTAGAGCAGAGCGTGAAGGTGAGTCTGTGGAGAACAGGCAGCTGAGTTTCACCTGGCCTGGGTCGGAGGAAAATCTTGCGAAGACGATGAAGCTGAGAGCGCTCTTCCTGATTCCAGTGTTGATATTCGACCACACGGTCGCCGTGTCCGCGGTCCCAGGTGAGTGAGCAGACAGGAATATTCTGGCTTCGTTGAACATGGGGAAGAAGGACTTAAGTACAGTGGAAGGGCTGGTAAACCTCAACTCTAAGTGGGGGTATCTGTGCCAGGAACAGGCATTGGTTTATCATTCTAACTCAGCTTTGTATACTTACTATGGGTGTGTGATGAAAGTTAAGAATAATTAAAAAAAAATATCTAGGGAATTGTAAAGTTTTATCGTTTTTAAAAATGTTATTTTAAAATACATTTAGAAGTCTGAACACGTGGCTTTCAAAGAAAGAAAAATCTATAAGTAGAAATCGTCTTTCCATCCCGAAAGATGTCGCCCTTGGGCCGTGGGGCTGGGGAACAAGCTACCCAGCCATGTGGTTGAAGTTGATGCCCGTCTTTCACGAATCGGCTGGATGAGATCCTCCTCAGTTTACTAGCAAATCTCTTAAGTTTTATGTTCCAACGTGCATGTGACTTACATAATTGGACTGTTGTAAGCAGAAGGTACTAACACCTCATAATCTTTTAGCATAGCAAGAAAAACAAAGTTGAACATTTTCTGGAAGTTACCCTTTTTTCCAAAGGCTATTTGATGTAAAACGGTGTTTAATTTTGAAATGGCATGTGTGGGGTTACTGCTGTGGAGGCCGTGCGTCTCTTTCTTGTTAGACCTACTGCATTTTTTTGAGAATGAGACAGTCATCTGTTCAGAGGACGAGTTCCAAGGTATTTTCTAAATCTGAGTTATGAAAGATGAATATTACAATCCCCTCACCCATATTATTTCGACACGCATGTGAACAGTATTCATGTCTGGGCGCTCTGATACTTTTCTGCAGGATGCGATGTCAGGTGTTGTTGTGTTGCAGATGATGAATGCAACGACGAGTTTCCTGCACGCGAGAACTGCGAGTTCGATGAAGTGTGTGAGGACGCCTTCTGCAAACACAACGAGTATGTCACCTGTCACATGAACAGGTGTGGGACTTGTGAGGCTGTCTTTCGTGGCTACGACAATCTCACTGTCAGCTGCAACCAATGTACGTCTGGTACACGTCTGGAACTTTGTGCTGCTCTTGTAACAGTATTCTAATTTCAAAATATGTATCGAATAAATATTTTCAGGTTTTATTATTATTATTATTATTATTATTATTATTATTATTATTATTATTATTAAGGAACTAAACTTTCGGGTTTGTTATTGCTTGTATGCATTTCCTCACAAAATGTATTTTGCTCAAGCACAGTTTTGTCTATTATTATTCTCTATATTTTCACAGCAAATGACATAATTGACATTTGATTGTGTAATAATATTCTAGATAAGGCACAACAGCGCTGTTTTAGGAAAGTTCTCGTCGGCATTTAATGCAACCCTTCTCCATGGCACCCCCTAGTGACGCCCAAGTGCCGCCTGATGCACCTGGAGATGCTGAACAAGAGGCGGACCGGGACCATCCTGCCAGGGGGCCGGCTGGACATCGAGTACGACCCGGAGTGTGATGGCAGCGGCATGTTCAAGCCCAAGCAATGCGACGATGACTCCAATCTCTGCTGGTGTGTGGACAGTGCCGGCGTGCGCGTCACAGACAAGACCGGAGACGACCCCAAGTGCGACCAGCTCGTTCGGGTTCAGTGAGTAAACCTGTGCAGGAGCGAAGGCCCAAAGAATGTTTGTGCTTTTCACATACATCATTAAGTTTTTTTTTTTTACAATTTAGTTATTTAGTGGGGCGGCTACGAAGCCTGTGACCGCACACGGGGGAGAGGGAGGAAGTGTAGGCAGACTCCTCCCACCGCCCAACTTTGAGACACGCCTCCTTTAATATGTCACATGCCATGTGGAAGCTCAGCACTGATTGGAGGAGAGGCGTGTCACTCACAGGTAGTGACTCATGCCCGCAGCTGCCCGGGAGGCCACAGTGGGCGCTGTGTCGCTGTGACCCGAGAGAGCTCTGGCCAGCTAATGGTCCCTGATCCTCACACTTCCGGAAGTGTCACGATAGTGATCCTTAAGCTCAAACTGCACTCAAGCAAGCGTATTTATCAATTGAGCCACTCGGCAGAGCTAACGAATGGTTTTGATATTAGCTTCCTGTATAGTCATTTGGTCAGACCCAAGCTGTTGCTCATGGCCAAGGTGCCCAACATGGATGTCATGGTGTTTCCCTTTGTGTTTTTATTCACTGGGTATAATGGATTTTACCTCAGAGTTCAAAGTGTTTAAAGGTTGTCAGTGTCTTCAAAGGTCTGTGTAGTCTGGAAATTGCAGATGTTATGACAGTTCAAAGATTTTCTTGTCCCACAGCCTCATTGATATTTCATTTACCTTCAAAGTGGATTTTGCAACTCTGGCCAGAACAAGAGAGGCAATAAGGCGGTATGTGCTTCTTGCTTTCTTTTTTAACCTTCATCCTTTTAATTCTAATGTAATTCAGTCATCTTTGAAAATAAAACTAACATCATCTTAACTGCATGTGCCCGGCATGTACTAAAACAGGTTTGTTCAGCTGTGATGCGAGAAGAACTTCAAACGTGCAAAACCTGTAAAAGAGCCAGTGCAGATCCAGAATTAATAAATATATCTGTGATTGATTTGTTTCAGAAAACTGGCTTTTAAACTCGTCAAAGAATACACGCTGAAGGCAACACAGATCCTGGAGATAAATGTAGGTTTCATTGTTCTTCCAATTCTCATGCGCTTGGCTACAACCTATTCCATTGGAGAATACAAATCCCGTGTAGAAAACAGTTTTGGAAACAGCACTGGCTCAGCTGTGTGTGTTTTCCCTTGCATAGAGATACACAGCTATCCTATGTCCAGGGCTTGAGAACAGGGTACGTTGTCTGTGTGATTACTACATGTCCTCTCTTGCTGTGCCAGATCCAGGAACTGTCCCAAGTGGTTTCAATCCGGCTGACAGAAAATGGCACCAAAGATCCAGTAGATGTTGCCACAGTGGCTTACTACATCGAGAGAGATGTAAGTGTCACACTTTCTTCCACTGACGCAACAGTGGAAATTTCATACAATTTGGTAAAGGAGTTTGTATACAGCCTGTTTTCTGTCCATGCTGAAAACATTAAAGACATGACTCCAGAAAAGCCTGTAAACCTTCCATTATGTTAAAACTCATTCAGCAAGTTGCAGCATGTGAAAGGTGCACCATGATTAGTGACCAAATTAATGGAAGATCCACTAGTTCTGTTGTAATTTTGTTCAGCTTACATTAAGGAGGGTGACAGGGCTTCTGGGATCTGGACAGTGAAAACCCAGTGGATTAGGAATTGACAGTAATACACAGAGCAGAGGACACAGATGGAAACTAAGGGGAAGTGTGTTTAACACTGAACAGAGGACAGCTCGTCTCTCCATACACGGCTGTGGGACTGGAAGAACTTACCCAGCCCTGCTGTCAAAGCGGATATTCTGTTTTCTCTCTGGGCTGCAGCTGGGAGGGATACACCGCTCGATGATGAGATCGGCCACACGGGCTGAACAGGCCAAATGACCTCCTCTTGTCTGTAAGCCCCATGACTGTGCTCTTCCGTTCTCACGCTCTTCACAGCTGAAAAACAGTAAGTTTGGCCTGGAGGTGGATGGAAGGAGCCTGGAGGTGGAGAGGGACTCTATCAAGGTCCTGTTCTTCGACAACGAGCCCCCTCGCATGAACATGAAGACCATCTCCCCCGGCTTCGCTGCCATCATCATCGTCATCGCGCTGGCGGTCCTCACAGGAATCGCCGTCTTTGTGAGTGGCTGACAGCTGCATTCACCCCCATTCCGCTGCACCCCTGACACACTCTCTCGTGCTCTGAATACGCGCTGAGAAACCGTGCTTTGCGCTTGTCGTTTTCTTCCGTTTTGAATCCTGAAGTCGACCAGGGCGGCTCCCCAGGGGTGCCTGTGCTTGCATGTTATAGTGTAGTCTCCCCCAGTGACGTACGCAGGTTGGCACGTTTATCTCGGCAGGTGTCAGTTCATGCATGAAAATCAAAACGGTCACTGCAAATGTCTTCTCTCCCCCGAAGGTTGTGGTAAGAAGACGAGCCGAACAGGAGAAAAAGCGATTCCAGTTCGAAGTGATTGAGGTATAAGATGGTCTGCGGGCTACAGCCCTGTTATTCTTGAGCGCAATGGAAAATGCATGTCGGGAGGAAATAAGTATTAACATTAAAACGTTGGATGCTTATATCCAAAGCAATTTAGAAAGGTTATTACTGTAGATTGTAAATAAATCTGTCCTAATAGCCAGTTACTAATTCTGGGTAATTGTTAAATTTTAACCTTTCGTTTCAATAGGATACAGAATCCTATTCTGCTAATCAAATAAGCCGTCTGAAGTTTTCTTTTCCATCAGTTCACCCAGGTTATGCATCACCGTTCTTGCCAACTGTTAATGTCTGCAGTCTACCGTGTAAACCACAAGGAGTACTAACTGCTCTCTCTTCCCAGGGGCAGGGGATGGATGACTATCATCTGGCTCAGCGAGACACAATGGCCTACTTTGTCATGTAAAATCTGGAAGTGTATGTACATAAGTATTTTATTTAATGTACTAAAAGTATAAATGTAAAGATACCAATTACTTTTCTTGTTTGCTATGCAATGTTTTTTTTCCTTTGCAAAAAACTAAATTTGATTTATTTTTGTTAAAAGAGGATATAGGTACACTAAAATACTTTACCAATTTCCCCCAATTTTTATTAATTTAAAAAGTAAACATGAAAACAAAGCTGTCAGTTCCAACTTGGGCAGTCACAACAAATAATTGGTGAAGAACGTGCTAACCCACAGCTTTGATTTGGGGAGATTCTCAGACTATCATACAGATGCTGCATCCTCTCATCAAATGTTTTTTTGTATGCTGAAAGCCATTGTATATTTTGCATGTTATTAGTTTTTTAATACTGGAATATTAATGTCCTAAATATTTTAATTTGAAACCATTTGCCATATTGGAATATATGCATATATACCTGTAAATCTTTTAAAACTTTTTTGGTTTAATTAAGTAATCTTTTTTTTTCAAACTAGTCTTTGGTATAGTATGTAATAGGGCTTACAGGTGACATCAAGCTCCTTGTTTATCAATAAACCTTTAACTGGGTCGGACCAGTCTTTTCAACCTTAGATGCTCATGACTATACCTATGACAGCATTTCAGTCTGGGACTGAACCGGATATAACACACATGCAATAAGGCAATATTTGTAGCAGTAAGACATGCAAATATAACAGTCTTAAGTTTTTCCATCTAAATTAGCTCTATAATTAAAACGATTCCGTGTTAAATATCATCAAAGACTAGCAATGATCACTCCTCACTTACAAAGAAATTAGCAGTTTTTTTAAAAAATAAGGAAATCTCACTGCCTTTATCAATACTTCTAGGTACTTGAACACCAATCCTTCCAACTAATTCAAATACAGAAATCCTCAAAGACGGACCATTAATTTAAAGCTCACTAAATGTGAAGCTGCTTACTTTTTAAATATTCAAACTTTGATTCAGACTGATTAAAACAAATTAACCATGAAAACTGTAATTGTCTGATTAGAAAACTGGTTCAGCACAGCTGTGTTGCAAGGTAGTTAAACTAAGGGAGTTATTTACCCGAGACAGCCTAGAAAGAATGACATTTTTCTTATTCTGAAATGAAACAATTTATTGTAGAATAGGCTGATCTTGAATAAATGGCTACCAGTCTGTTTGAACAAAGACTCCTCCATGCAAACTTAACAAAACTGCGATTCAGGGAAAACAGCTTCCATGTTAGCTTTTTATAACCATACATTTAGAGTAATTGATGTATTTAATAGACACGTAAAGAATGCAAAGTCAAAAAAATCTTTCAGGTCTTATAGGTAGAGTCCCTCTGGTGTGCCTTCTTGTTTTTTGTACAGAACATTTTCCTTTGACTTCTTAAAGTCTTCATTTGTCACTTTCATCCTGCGCTCTCTTAACGCCATCAATCCAGCTTCCGTGCAAATTGCCTAAAACACAAAAACATTCAAGATGCACTGCATAATGGGTACAGACACATAAAGTAATGGTTCATAATCACAGGATATTTAAATTACTTTATGAGAAAGGTGTGAAGTAAGAATGCATTTCCCCCAAAAAAATCGCTGTTCTGCAAAATTAACAGTCCAAAGCACAATATTACTTAAATGTTTGGAGGTAATTCTTGTGCAGGCATGTACTGTAAAAACGAATGGATACCACCATCGTCTTTCTGGCATTCCGGTGTGGTTAAGTCAGTTGTGTCCGTAAACTGCCACAGGGGGGCAGAAGAACCACTGAAAAGGGGCAGGTATTCCAACACCATCCGCCCCAGCATACACAGAATAAATCAAGAAATAAACCCAACCGGTATAAACAATTCTTTCAAAACAGTTTCAGGAAATGTTTGAATTGCTAAGCATCAGTTGTAGCATTCTCGCGACGCACAGTCAAGATCTGACCCAGAGCTACTGCAGTGCCAATAACCTGCATTGAAGCGCAGGCAGCTTCCTACTGAACTACGTGCACCTCTTTCCAGTACAACCACCCTGTTGCCCGAAGGTGTTCTACTGAGGAAAAGACTCATCTTGCTCTACCACATGAAGATGTGTGGTTTATGGATTAGATTAATTCAATGTATAATAAGGTTTTGTGATCGGAGCTGGCCTAGAACGCTAAGGAATACCTTTATGTCTGCTCCAGAGAGGTCATCTTTGGCCAAAATTAAGTCATCCAGCGTTACATCATCAGCCAGAGTCATCCTGCTTGTGTGGATCTGGAAGATTCGTCTCTTGGTCTTTTCATCCGGCAGCGGGAACTCAATTTTACGATCAATTCTTCCTAGAGTAAGAGAAGAGAGGGGACTGCACCATGTCCATGTGACAAGACAGTAAAAACTTCACGCTCCCTTCATCCCCACCCTGTCCCTTCCTGTCTTTTGTGACTCAGCAGTCCTGGCGTGAATGTGCTCACGTGAAGCTCAAGGTGCCTGCTGCACTGCAGCTTACCTGGCCTGATGAGAGCTGGGTCCAGGGTTTCTATTCTGTTTGTTGCCATGATGACTTTAACATCTCCTCTAGAGTCAAACCCATCCAGCTGGTTCAAGAGCTCCAACATCGTCCTCTGAATTTCACGCTCTCCGCCGGAGTTCGAGTCATACCTAAAACAGAATAGGGAATGAAAAATCCCAGACTAATTGCTTACAGTGCCTATATTCAGAAGGCGGTACGAACACTTTTAGTTTATCTGTATCCTTAACTACATATCAGAATATTTTATTTTAAAGCAGCTCATATTTCAGGCAAGTAGTACTGCTCCACTACTGGGTACACAGATGTTACATAGTTAGATTTATCAGAAGAACAAAACCCCTTTTCTACAGCGCTATCATGAAGAGTGTGTTGACATTCTCCACCACTGTGTGGTTTGGCAATACTTCTGAACAGGACAAGAAGCAGCTACAGAGAGTAGTGCTTATCGCCTCCAAATCTGCAGGATAGCATCTTCCCTCTGTGGACACACTCTGTCTCTCTAGACTGAGCACAAAGTTCTAAAGATCCCTGTCACACCCTTCACGCCCTGCCCAACCTCTGTTTACATCTCTCCTCTCTAGTTGGTGTCTCAAGTCTATTAGGACACGGACTACAGGGTTCTGAAACAACATCTAACCGGAGGCTGTGAGATGCATAAACTCTACCCTTTAACTTCTGATATTTTTGCAGAGCTCACTGCTATTCATCTCATTACTGGGGTGCATTTAGGGTGTTTCCCCCAACGTGCTGGGGTGGATGCACTCTGTGATTAAGCTTTATGATGTATATTTGTAATGTACGACTTTGATTGCATGAGCTCACCGAACCAAATTCCATATAACTTGTGGCGATGGCAATAAAAGTATTGAACTTGGGCTTTAAAGTTATTCCCTCTTAAGATCGCAAGAGAGGGTTACTGCCATGTTGCAGTTTTAACTCATTGCAGAAGAAAATGTAAAAAGACAACAACAGAAGAGCAATTGTCTTGAAGATAGCCCTTTACCTCTTGGTCCCGATGGCATCGATTTCATCAATGAACACGATGGACGGGGCGTGCTCCTCGGCCACTCGGAACAGCTCCCTGACCAGCTTGGGACCGTCGCCCAGGTACTTCTGAATGAGCTCCGACCCCACCACCCGCAGGAACGTAGCGGACGTCTGGTTGGCCACCGCCTTGGCCAGCAGAGTTTTGCCTTTTGCACGGACAGAATACCGTCAGTGCCCTTTGTTCACTCTAAATACATCCGATACATCTGTATGGAGAAGCTTCATGTGACATCAACAGGACTGTGAATTTTGGAATGGTACGCATCTTTAAAACCCTGAAAATCACAACTCCACAGCGGAGAGTCACAGATAAATCCTTCATTTTTACCCACGGCAAGTGTTATACTAGTAATGGTATGACAATTAATTTAAAAAACATGTTCACTAAAGAAAAATTCAATGACATGATATCAAGATTGATGGTCTACTCCAGTGTTTACATTTCTATTCCATCTTCAAAGAAATTCAGATTATGTGAATCTCAGAAAGGGAACTGGAACTGAAAACCTGTAGCTGACTCCCACTCCTGCAGATGTTATAGAAACTGCCCAGTTCCTTACCTGTACCAGGGGGTCCATACAGAATAACTCCCTTTGGAGGTTTGATTCCCATCTCCTCATAATACTCAGGGTGGGTGAGAGGTAACTCCACCGACTCCTTCATAAGACAGAAGCACTTTTATCAGCAAAAGAACTCCGTCCGACAACAATACTGGTGTTTAATGTATTTTAAAAAAAAAAGCAGAAAAGTGTCCTATTTTCTGAATAACGTAGCTTGAAAAAAAAAACAACTTACTTTTATTTCCTGGATTTGGTTATCCAAACCGCCGATATCAGCATAGGTCTCCTGCGGTGCTTTCTCCACCTTCATGACCGTGACTAGCGGATCTGTATCATCCATTAAGACCCCAATGACCGCATGGACCTGCGGACAAAATCACAAACCCCTACATCAAGTGCCAGCAGGGTACTTCCACTAATCAGTCCCTTTCAAAGCAAAAAAAAGCAGCCACAACTACCCAGAACCAATTTGCCAAATAATGGAACACAAAATTGCCTAGATTGTTCAGGTCAAAGCAGACATGGCAAATAAACCTGCTCTAACAAAATGATGCAGGAATCTCTCTATATTTAGTTTTTCACTCAATTCAAGAAGCTAAAAAGTTGCTTTACCTTGTGGTTCAGCAAAACAGAGCAACCCGGCTCCAGCAGATCCTTGTCTACAAAGGACAGAATGCTGACATAATGCTCTGATCCCACAGATGTAGAAACAATAGCATGGTTGTCATCTATTATTTCCTCCAAGGTTCCAACAGACATTGGTGTCCCCCTCAGATCATCAACCTTTGATCTCTCTTCCTGTGAAATATTATAACAGTAAGAACATATTACAGGGAGACATTTCATGTATCAAGAAATCCATTCTTACAAAATGGAACTGACCCAAACTAAAGGATAAGCTCCTTTAAAGGTGACAATACCTCTTGTTTCTCCTCTAAAGGCTTCATCTGTTCTTGATTTCGGATAAATTCCTCCTCCATCAGCAGGTAATCTTTAATCCTCTCCAGTTTCAGCAGTTTAAGCCTACACTGCGTGTGAGGGGTTACTGAGAAAGAGAGAAATATTATGTGTGCATTTTAAAAAGCTGATGCAAGCTTTCTTAAAAACACCCTCAAGGCCTATTTTAGATTGGAACTCATCTGGGTTTTGAAACTGAGCAGTACCTAAAGGTAACTTGCTGGCTGCATCTGGTCCCTTCGACTTCTTCTTCTTTTTCCCAACCCTGGTGGGAATCGGTGGCTCATATTTCTTCTTCTTGTCCTTGAAATAAGACAAGGTGTTAGCTGGGCCCTGCCCCAGGTGCTGCGGGACGGAACGGGTGGCGGAGGGCACGAGCCCGCGCGGAACCGCGACGGTCACACAGACTTGCCCAACATGGATGTCATGGTGTTTCCCTTTGTGTTTTTATTCACTGGGTATAATGGATTTTACCTCAGAGTTCAAAGTGTTTAAAGGTTGTCAGTGTCTTCAAAGGTCTGTGTAGTCTGGAAATTGCAGATGTTATGACAGTTCAAAGATTTTCTTGTCCCACAGCCTCATTGATATTTCATTTACCTTCAAAGTGGATTTTGCAACTCTGGCCAGAACAAGAGAGGCAATAAGGCGGTATGTGCTTCTTGCTTTCTTTTTTAACCTTCATCCTTTTAATTCTAATGTAATTCAGTCATCTTTGAAAATAAAAC